GAGAGTATTATTGACTTGAGTAAGTTCCCCATTGCGTAATAACACTTGTTACCCGTTTGGATTCTTTTAAGTATTTCATACTCCATGTTTTTTGAATGGGTGATCATTGTACCCAGATATTTAAATTGTGATACATTTTTGAAACTATAAGGACCTACCTTTAGAAACTCTTCTGCTTGTCTTCCGTCTTCCGTCTTCTTGTCTTCGGAAAATACTTTGGAAACAACAAATNAATATAAAGTTATTAGTTAGGTATTACACCAGAAGATTACCAGAAAGTATTATTCTTCAAAAAAATAATGAAAAAAGCCAACAAATATTATAAGAGGTGTTATAAAAAGTAATGACTTTTCTGTATAGAAAATAGATTATTATTTCTGTAACGCTCGTGGATTAATTGTACTGACTACATAGATGGCCAGTATAATCGGAGACTGGGATACTATTATCATTAAATTTGCATGCACGTGTCCCGAAAATAATGGCTTACAAATCAATTAACATCAGTGCACTCACCATGGTGAATATTGGCGATTCGGCATACATCGATATCTTATACCGGCTGATATGGATAATATCAGGATTATTATTATACGGGTAAGCCTTTTTTATAAGAAACAAGTAGAATTTAGTTTTTAACATGTACTACATGGCATAATTATTACTTATAATTTCGCTATAAATAAGGTGTTCTGATTCGCTGACTGCATTAACCGTCTGTATGTTTTTGTAATAATATAGACAAATTGTTGCTATAACGTATCAATCGTTTTTATTTTATCGATTAATTAAAATACGGGCTCACGGTTTTACACCCATTTAGCTAAGTTTTATATCGATCACATCAAATATTGGATTATCGAGCATTGGAAGCGAAGTAATTATATCGGTTTATATACGTTTATATTTACTGCAGTGCATACACGAGAAAACAAAATATATGATTTTATATCTAATACCGTGTATTATAATATGATGCCAATTTCGATAAAATTATAACACGGAATATATCATTCTCGACGATCTTCTCGCCCCAAACCTACTACCCAAAGTCGATAACCCTTATATTCGCCTATTATACGAATAATTCTACTGGTACTTCTGACGCTGATGCTGCTGCTGCTGTGCGACGGACTAAACAATATGTAAGTCGCGCGTAAGCGTCAGTGCTACATATTATTATTACTACTATCGTATATCTATTGTGAAAAATTTCGCGCTTAACCGTCCCGACTATAGTCATAATAATAATATAATAATATACTTCCCGCGAGTGTAAAATAGCATAGTATGGTATAACAATTACCGGGATGCAACAATAATGAAAAACAAAACCGTAGGTAGCTGATGTACCTACCACCTATACATAATATATATATATACGACACCGCGGAGTGTTTTATATTGCATTGTATTATATCGTCCACGCGCGCGTAATCCGCGGCGAGGTTCAACAACCTCACCCTACCCGGCCGCCGCCGTCGCCGCAGTTGATATAATGCGTTGATGTATACGACACCCCGTCGGTAATCCGTAATCTGCCTCGGAGGGTGGCCCGCGGAAATCAATCACGACGCCCCTGGGCCCGTTGCGTGCTGTTGCCGCGTCGGCGAAATTGTTTCACATTATTATTATTGTTCGTGGGCATATAATATAATACACGATAAACATACGCCGCCGTCCGTGGCCCCTGCAGTCTCCAATCCGACCGACGATTTTCAATATTTTTTTTTTCTCGTACCGGATTACCCCCTCTCCTCTCCACGATATTCAGGCTCCGGCCAATAAAATGTCTACCGGGAATCTTGCTCCGATTTTCGAACGTAGCGCATTTTTCGCGAAAGGAAATTTACTCGGGATGGTATCTTAAGGAGGTTATTTTTTGATTTTTCAAACAGTTTTTTATTATGATAATAATTGGGAAAATCCGGGAAAAAACTGTAAATATTGCGGCTTTTTAAAACATGTATAACCCAACCGTCCGCTCAGAATCGTTTTTCGATGGTAATCGTTATTGATCGTTGCATACACTAAATTCCCCTCTATATCCTACATTCTCAATCTAAAAAACAGTGGCACACCCATCAGTCGAAGTATGTCCGTCTTTTTTTATACTGCAGGTAAAACGTACTAATAAACTATAAATTATAAAAAGAAATTATTAACCATAATAGGTTACAACTTAAAATTATAAAATTAAAATTATTTTTATACTTATTAATTCACATTAGTGTTTTTGTTCACCATATTCATCTCTTTGTCGCTAACTCGTATATCCTGTCTCTAAAATTTTTCCCAAAGAATAGCACATCCTTTTTTGTACTTTTAATATTAAAAGTTGCATTTTAAAATAATAAAATAACGTAATAATATTATGGGTATACGGCGTTAAAATTGTTGACACCTAAAAACGTGCGGCGCGTGGAGTATGGGCGAAAAACAAAGTGATTTGATTTTCAATTTGTCCGGATATTGTGAACGTATTTGTTCGACTGATGTATCTGAATTGATTCCTAGATTATTTTAAAAACAATTTCAATTTTTCTTATCATTTTTTATACAGACTTAAGACTGTCTACATATTACCATTGATTATATACATAATCAAAGATATTATGTAAATTCAAACAATACTTAATACTTACACCTCAAGGTTATCGGTGGATTACTGAATGCAATAGCAGGCGAAGACAATTTATGATACTTTATGTATGATAAACCCATACACAATGATTGTATAGATGTTTTTTTAATATTAAGTACTATTATTATATTATATTTTGTTTTTTTGAAAGTCTTTATCGGGAAACAAATGGCTTGTTTGCCACTTAGATTATCGGAAACTTACTCTGATTTTTAGGTATAGGAACCAATTAAGATGCAGTCACCACAAGTAGTGTAGCAGTTGCTACGTACGTTGGACAAGTAGATAATGCAACGAACAGGTTTCTTTATTTCAGTCCCCGCATTGGAGCCACCATCGAATTATAAAGTCATCGGATATACATTGGAAGACATCCACCCCGTTATTTGGTACGGCCGTTTTCGAAATCTGCGGAGGGGGGCATATGCGTAGGACGGGATTGAGACATTAAGGGGCCCGGGGCGAAGAATATGTTGAGGCTTTCCCCCGTGCGGTTTAGTTTACAAATCATACGAATTCGCCGCATAGTTCATCATATTATTCTATTGATTTTAGGATAGTTATGCTTTTTCGTAGTATATTGAAAAAAAACTTCGTTGTTTTAATGTTTAATGACTTGACAGATGTAACGTCCGTGGCAACGGTATTAGTGGGGTTACGTGTAGATGCTTGATGGATCTTATTACTACAGCGTTAAAATGATCCAGAAATTCGATTCAAATATACAATATATAAGTACTTAGCTGTTTCTTGTCACACCTCACACATCCTATTATATAGACCGTTTGTTTTATGGCGTGTTTTCAGTAACTAATTCTTTAGGTGTATTCAGTGTAGTGTAGATGGTATTTGAAAATATCCTTGAACTAAAGTTTTAGCCCGATCCGTGTACAATATTTTACATTGCAATTTCATATATTTTGAGCCCCACTCTTAACCGAGGTGATTGGTATTTTTAATATTCTAATAAATGATATTATTATACGGCAACCGTCTGTGACGATGTGACACTATGTCGGTTATTCCCAATAATAAAACCAAATTCGGAGGTCTCCTAAAAACGCGAAGCTCGTAGCAAGTGCTCTCCTCTCGGTGTTTTCAATCTCAGATTAAGATATTTAGTGGCCCCAGGTCCAAACTTTTCAACTAGACCTTCAAAAATAATAATCAATAATTAAAAATAATTAATAAAACAAAATAATTTTAAACTATTAATCAATACGATTTAACAAAATAAAAACAATCCGTAACATAGACATTTAATAGTTTTCATTAATAGCCATCGACGAAAAGTTATTAAAAGCAATTAAATATAAAGTTAACTGTTCAATGCGCGTAGATAACGAACATATAGTACAATGTACCAAAAACTGAGGCCTCCCGGAGTCTTGCGGTCCAGGGGCTGTGCCCTCGTCCTCTTCATCCGGGCTCGCGTGTCCTCCGTCAAATATCCGTCCCTACATACGCGATTCCCGCTTCTCGATGTTTTATTGGTACGACAATAAAAATTACGCGACCGTTGTCGCGTACAAATTAAGTATAACTACGTACAATATCTGTTCGTACAACAATTTTTTGGTGTGAGTGAGGGGACACGCGGGAACGTGCGAAACTCGCGCGCGTTTTGTGTCGGGGTCGCGCGCGCGTCGGCGTTAATCCGACGGAACGGCGGCCGCGGCGCGCCGTATAGTGAAAACCGACGACGATTGTGGGTCACGTCACACGGTTGTTGTTGTTGTTACTATCATTATTATTGTTTTTCCCTCTTCAGCCCCCGCCCGTCCGTCTACACGTTGGTCGCGAGCCGCCCGCAGGAGGGGTTCACGCGTACGACCGGAGTGGTCACACGCACGCACGCGGTTTCGGGCGCGCACGCACCGGGTTTCTCGGTCGCGTCACGCGCTCGCGCGCGCGCGCGCGGGGGATAAAGACCAGTTTTGTAGCGATTTCGTTTTGTTTTGTGAGGTGCCTATCCGTCCACGTCCACCGGTCCGCCGGCGGTCGTGTCAGTGTGCTTTCGCGAGTCCAGGGAGCCGTGCGTGCGTGTACTGTCTACGTGAAAAACGGATCGGTGTTTTTTTTTTTTTGTTTTTACTCCCGCGTGTGTGCGACCGTTTCGATAAGCTCATCAAAACATACCTACTCGTATATTACACCCGTGCTTCCGTGTCGTTGATAATAATCATTTTTCGTTTTCTACTATCCGTCGGCCTTTCGTGCATTGATTGGTCCAACGCCTATGCGTTCAATATTGTTTTTTCATTATCACCATATTATCGAGCGCCCGTTCGTGTGCATACAATTTTCGAGTTTAATATTATCAATAATTCGCCGCGTTTCTTTTTTTTCTACACATAATATTATTATTTCGCGTTTTATCTATACTGTGCGGCGTGACTTTCCGGAGTGTGACGAAGCGATTGATAACAAGAGAGCTTCGGCGGACCATTATTATTATGGTTTGGCGCGCATGCGGTGACGACACGGGTTAACGCGCGAAATGATCGAAGTGCAAATGATCGACAGGCTGGCCCGAGACGATAAAAAAGACGGGTAAACGATAATATTCTTCTACTATTTTTATTTGGTTTTTTTTTTCGCTCTTTCGACTTCGGTGGGTATTGTAACTCTATGCAGCCCTTCCTCTTCTATTCTCCGTTCTTTTACATTTTATATTTTTCTTCTTATGTCTCATTATATATTATAATATTTTAAGCCTAGCTCTTTAAAGATTTGCGAGACAAAGTTCGCCCTCGGTCGCCCTCTTCTTTTTTTTTCCACAGGTATGACTCCTTCAAGAGGAATCTCTTCTTTACTGTCTATACAGGGCTATTATGCCTGAGAATATACGGCCTAACCTAATTATTGCAATTTCCTAGTTTTTATATCATCTCTATCATTGTCATTTGTTTATTGATTTATTGTTGTAATTCATTCAATGTTTTATTGCTGCATGTGTCAATAATCTTTTTATTGATTTTCTTTTTCTTTTTCTCGTACATCCATGTTTCTTCTGAATGTACGTAATGCTATAGGACATAGATAATATTAGTGTCGTACGGATCATCCATCATTTTAGGTATTTGACCATGAACTATCAGATTTTGAGTAAATTTCATTTCGGTTTTTTTCAGATATCAGGCACGAAATCGTTTACAATATATTTTTAAAATGTTAACTTTAATCTATACCCATACTACTACTACTACTACTATTGCTATTACTACATAGGTTGCTATTTGAAAATCTAAAGTTGATATTGTTGGCTGAGCAATGTTTAATACTTAAAATCCACCTCTTATCTCTTTTTTGAATAAAAAATGTGTATTAAAACTCGCGCTCCGCTATGGTTTTACAACCTTACACGTCCTATCACATATAATCCACAATCAACATAAAATACTATTTACGATAAAAAAAAAACCGTTCTGTATATAAATGTCGTTAGAAATTAAATAGTTTTTCAAATCGATTTTTTTTTTTTAGAATATTTTTTTGTTTTATGTTTACGCTTTGACACTTATTTTTGTTTGATACTTTGATTTATGTTAAAACAAAATATATAGGTAATATTATAATGTATTTGATTTTAATCTAGTTTACGTTCCAGTCATGTATTTATAATTGTGTTTTTCGTCTTAGACGGTAAACAATATTAAGAAAAAAAAAAAAAATATTTATATATTATTTGCAAAATACATACAAATAATATATACATACGTTTTTAATATATAATATATATTGTTTATATTGTATAGATATACAAAAAAAAATGAATTTTGAAATTCGTTTTTATTCAGATTTTTATCTATCTACACTTAAATCATATACCAAAATTAAGATCATCTGTTTTCTAATCGTTTGATTTCTGTCGAGTTTCTAATTTATTTTATAATTATTATGACCTTATATACCTAGGTGTAACATCGAAGGTCACACGACTATATATACTTACATTTTCGAATGTCATTTAAAGTGTAGGTACCTAATCGTATTCTTAAAATTGTTAAAAGACAGCTCATTTGACAGAAAATGTGCATTACAATAACAATTGGTGTTATAAGTATATACACCAATATTATTGCGTAAGTTTTTCTTTTACATTTTACTCGACCAAACTTTATGCGTGTCGTGCAACTTTTACATTATAAATACATTTAATTTTAAGTTTAATTTAAAATAATTGGTGGTTTAACATTTTACATTTAAAAAACATATATTTGTTTTATTAAAATTATCTATGCTCAAATGTTGTAATTATTACCTATACTCAACAAATAGCTTATATAAGTTTTTATAACGGTTTTAGTACGTGTTAAAAAATATGTATAGTGTGAACTTGAAATAATTCACACAATTGTGTAGCCGTGTCTTATAATATAGTACACATATTATAATACTATATAGTACATAGTACTACATAGAATGTTTTATAAAACAATTTTTTTTTAAAGTAGGTTAACTAAAAAATATAATTGAATATGTATCATATATAATATATACAGGTAGGTAGTTTAGAATGGTAAAATAATATGATCACAACTACTGAATCATATTCATATATAAAGTATATTAATAACTTTGAGGAAAAATGCGATAAGATCTGTAAGTTTAATTAATTTTTATTAAAAATAATAATTTTAGCGATGTTCTTAAATATAATATCGGATTTCTGTCATCTAAAAACCTATTTGTCGTCCGAATATCATAGAATATCTCGTATTATAACGATTTATTTTAAACTATTTTCGGTGTTGTACAAACATTAAGCTCATTAGTATGCAAATAATGAGTAAACATCATGCCCTGCGTAATAGTCACTTCGTTTGATTAAAATAACAAAGGCAAATACGCATAGAATTTTTTTACCGAATCTTCGGTAGGTGGTGGATCTAGAAGATAAATTATGTATTTAATTCGTCTTCATTACGACGAAAACGGGCGTAAACAAATTGACGGATAATCAAACATATCTAATACTGAAATTAATAAATAAAGAAAATAAAATAAACGGACCCTTCTCATACACATGTATTCCTTAATAATATATTTAATTGGATAGTCTAATTGTTAATATAAAAACAAAAAAAAAAAATTGTTAACGTTTATGCGAAATAATATATTATAGATTTTTCGGTAACGACGACGGCCGACACCACATGCTAATAAAATAACCCACGTCAAGATATTCGGATAGACAAAGTATCGTATTACATAAATCGTGTTTCGGACCAATTTATACAATTGTGTTTTTTTTTTTCTGGGCCAGGTGCAGCACATTAAAAATCAAAATAATACGGTTTATCCCCTGTTATAGCCATCGCGATTTCTATTTAATTATTTGTATATGATTACACTTTCTTATAGGTAAAAAATTCGTAGCTTCTAACAATAAGTACGTTATATTTTTATTTCAATAGAATATTATGAAATAAATCAATATTAGAGAAAATTACACACAAACTATAGAAAAAAATAAAAATGAAATCGATATAAATTAAGAATAATAGGAACAAAAACGTGTGAAACGAATTGAGGTCGTTTCTACGATTTATCAAATTATTGGCATATTTGTATATTATTAGTATATGTTATCTTTTTGGCTTCACGTGGACGTGTGCCTAGGGATAAAATGTTGTAAATTGGATTTTAGTTTTCAAATATAATATTAAATTAAACATTTAATATTCATCCACTTTTATTTTGTTAAATATAAGTACCAATAAATTAGATATTACTTATCGAACTCCAAGTTTTTTCTTTAAAATATATATATAAATACATATAAATATAAATTATAAGAAAAAAAAAACCTAAATTAATATTTTTATCATACTTAGACTCGTAAATCTATCTTATTGCCACATGTAAGTATAAACAACAACGACTTAATCATCGGTTCTATAGTACGATTCATTTATCAAGATCCAGCGATTTCCTCGGACGATTTAAAGTGAATTTGTTTTTGTGATATTTTTCAATTTTAATGGAATCGTTTAAATTTTGTTTGAATGCTACTTTTACCCATAATCCACTTCTTCATATATTAAATAAGCATACACTTTGGATTTTCAAAAAACAATTCGCTTTTAAATGCTGAATGTTTTTCTAAACATTTTGCATATAGACACTTAACACAATATAAAGAGTAGATTTACCGTTTATTACTGTTACGACAGTCAGGCATTCAGTCCGGAGTAGTAGGGAAATGTATCACCTGAAAATGAATACGAAGTTTATAATCCTTATCCCTGTTCTTCCGGTATATATTTTAAACGGTTTTATACATCCTAAACATTTGTAACGGTAAATCCTATATTATTAGTGCATATCAAAATGTGTAAAATAATGTTTTCTATTCGAATCTGCGTTTAAAAAATAAAGGTTTTAATGACTAGAAAAAAAAATAGAGTGCATTTAAAATTCTCCGAGAAAATCACTGGATCTATATACTAAATGGATCGTGGTGTATGCAATACGCTCGTGGTTTTTTTTAACTAACCGAATCTGATCCGATTATTAAATCCTGCATGAGGAGGACCCTCCGGACGATGACTGTACGACGACGACGATGGCGTTTTATTATACATGCATAATACACTAACAATGTGCGGTTCCGACGTTGATGAGCCACCAAATGCTCGTATATTACAATAATAATATATAAGTAAAACACGTACTCGATCCGCGGAAACTATAGGGGGAATATTCGCCCGGGGCCGGCTCGCGCGTATTATGGTTTTCACTTGACAGTAGCTAATAAATATCGCGATCTAACGGCCGAAGAGGGGAAAATTCTGAGAGAATAAGTAATAATAAAAAATAAATAAATCTCGGCTACTGCCTTGCGTGGTGGTGCACGTATACTATATAGGTATCCGCGCTGTACCTATAAAACAGCGGGCGCGCGCGCGTGTTCCCTCGGTAGTCGGCCGTCAACGTTTGTTTTACGATCGCAAATCGTTTGGCGATGGCTAATTTAGTTCGGCCAACGCTCTTTAAATATTATAGGAAACAAAACCACGTGTGGGTTATAACTAAAACCCGAACAATAAAACTACAATATATATCTACCTCTATATATACAACATACATAATAGATGATAATATTATAAACTATATTATATAGGTACCTACTATAGATCGGAATATTATTATTACAACGTTACACGTTTTATGTCTTTGAGAGATACCGTTTCGGAGTTAGCGAATCCGTGTAATTTTGTTATTATTATTATTCGTATTTTTTTGTTTTTTTATCATGTCCGATATCTTTTTAGATTCTGAGGAATCCATTTATTTTACAATGATGATTATTTTAATTTTTTTTTTAAACCGTGACAAACATTTCTACCAGAAATCTTGCTTCAATATGTAAATGAAGCACCTTTTCTGGAGGGAAATTTTGTCTGGATGGTACTTTAAGTAGGTAATTTTTCGATTTTCCTAGTGATCTTCACAACACTAGGGAATAACCGGGAAAAAACGTCGACAAAACAGAAATATTTACAAAATGTATTATTTTCAATTTTGTTTTTTGTTGTGATTCAGTTGATATTATTCGTAGAGATTTGAAATTTGGACATAAAATTATATTTGCCTTTCTAGACGTAATACAGTTTTCAAACATTTTAGTCGTGTTTAAATAAGTTATAGTCATTTATTTTTGCGAGTTTTTTTACGTAATTTTTATTCGGTAGGTATTTTGTCGATATAATTGTTAGACCATACAGAAATGCTTGAACATTTAATAGGAAATTCATTATAAGTCGTTCTTTGTGATTAAAAATAAAAAAATTGAGTGTGTTGTAGAATTACTGAAAATTGTATATATTACGGCCTTTCAAAACATGCATAACTGAATTCCGGTCAGAATCGTTTTTCGTTAGCAAAGATTAGTCATTGCGTACAGATATAAATTAAATTCCCTTTTATATCCTACATTTTTAACTTTTTATTTATCGCATCTTTTTTTTTTTATAAAATAATAATATTGACTAATATATTGAATTGAGGGCTGTGAGCTTCCGGCACATACCTACGGGTGCCTTTATTCAAACTGTATAATATTCTGATTATTAGAATTGGATACACGAACATTATAATAATACCTATTATATGGATTTTGTCTGTTTAATTACTCGTCTAGAAAGTTCCTATATAGATATAATACCAACTGTTTACATAGAGAAATAGTTTTTATTCTCAACCTGTGGTACACGGCAAATTTTTTGACAAGCAAAAAAAAAGTTATTAGTTATAATGTAGTTAATTTATTCAAAAATAATAACTGAACATATGTACGTATATTCCAAATAATCCAAATGCCCGAGTTTTAGTTTAAATATCTGAGAAGTTTATTTATTTTCAATGTTGCTTAAGTTTATGGAGGCTGGCGGTTTGGATTTTATTTTAATCGTTGATCATAGTTTATATACTCAGATGTAAATAAATTATAATAAAATATTAGAATTTATATACATATATACGTATATGTGTTAATATAATAAACATATTTTTTTTTAATATATTAACTGTTTTTTTTGGGTATAACTGCATACACATTTAGAAATTATCTATTCTATTTCATATACTAGTATCATATCTATATACAGTGGCGTACGAAGGATATTTCAATGGGGGGTGGCTTGAAAATTGATAATTAGTACTGTCAATTTGTAGGAAAGTATATTTTTTAGCTTATTATAAAACGTAGCTTATTTTTAAATATATAATTTGAATTATGAAACTTTTATTTTGCATTTTTGACATTTTTATTTTTTAAGGTAATTTTTTGGACTTTTTAAGTCATTTTTTCCTTTTAGTTCATTTTCCGATATTTTTAATCAAATTCTGTCAATTAACACATATATTTTTTGTTTTACATATACTGTAAATACGTCAAATTTAAATTTTATAAAATATTTTACACAAGCTGTATACGGGTTAGGTAAAGATAAGGATTCGATAAAATAAGGGAATATTGCTTAGATTAGTTATTTGTGGGCTTGTGATAAATCGATATCAGTAATATCAAAATAAATATAAAAATTAAATTAAAAACCATTTTATATTGCATTTTTTGAGACTTTAAATGCATATTTTATTGCATTTTTTATGTATGTTTTGCACATTTTTAAGGGTTTTTATCACATTAAATTCACAACCCTATTGATAATTAATTAGTTGCTTTGTGACTAATTTGAAAAATAAAGTAGGTCAGAGGGTGCATTATGTTTTTTTAATTGTTTTAAAAAACATAAAACATGGACAATTTTTATAAAAAAAACCTTTAATATTTAGGTAACTATAGAAATGTTGGTCAGTAAAACACAATTTTTAAGCTGGTCGAGTATTAAAAAAGCCAGAGATCAACCAAAATTAGAATTTAATGAATTGTGGATTGCATTACTTACTGTTTATTTTTTTCAAACTAAAAATTGAAAACGAATTCGATCTTTTTTATTTTAATAATATCATATTCTGTCATAACATAGTATAATAGACAACGGTGGTAAATTAAATTGTTTACTTATTCGAAAATAGTGTATTTTATAAAAAAAAAGTCCTTGCTTACTAATTATTATTACAATTGAAACATGAAAAATACAAAATTGTGTAATTCCTGAGTAGAAAACTTATTTCAAAAACCGATTGAATATTTCACATTATTGTTGTTATTCGATTTAGAATTGACAAGCGTATAATATGATTTTTATTTTGGTATTACGATAAATTATTAAATTATTCAATATCATCATAAAACGATAAACAAATTGAAAACTCTTACAGTTAATAATTTCTTGGTGCCATAGAAGTTCTGCATTAAAATATTTTTGTTTATAATGTAAGTAATTTGGGTTTTTAATAAAATGAATGTTTCTTGATTATTTATACTACTTTAATATTAATGCACTTGACATGTTTAATGTTTACATTTTAGTAAGTTTAAAGTATTTCTTAGAAATTAATATTCTTTATTGGCTTTATTACACTTACCAGCTTGAAATAATAATATTATATGAACTAACAGGTTATATTATAGCTAATCAATTATTGAAATGTTTATTTACATGAATTATGAGTATGCAATGAAGTTCTTTAATAAATTCACTAAATTCAATATTGTTCAAATATTATTATAAATAATTTGCTTAAAAAATTTAACTTTGTATTTCGTGTAATGTATTATTTTTGTCATGAATTTGTTCCGGGTGTGTACAATAGTTATATGTATTTTTAGGTATTTTTATATGGTTATATTTAAAACCCTGTACAAAATATTATATTCGAGTAGAATCCGCTGAATAGGTTATTGAAGTTACTGTAGACGGTTGAACTTTTATGTTTAAAATTATTGCTACACATGCTTATTTAAATAGGTATATGTATTTATAGCTAAAATGAAATTACTGACCCGACTTTTCTTTGGATAAGAAAAAAAACCATTTGCGTTCCCCTTCATTCGGTAGGTACTTAGTTACACTTACTGTATGCTAACGCTTGACTCCCCGTGTCTAGAGTCTGCTGCTAGACTGCAGGTGTGTTTCGTAAAAACTCAAGTTACAGTTGGTAACAACTAGAAAAGGGGTTATAGTGCCGCACTCCCTTTATATCGTTTTTTAGCGACTAAAAAGTCGACTTTTTTTCTTTTAGCCCTTACGATTTTGTGTAATGGGTGTACACTGCGAACGTTTCTTATTGTCTATGTATAATATATCGCGGGTGAACGCCACCGCCTTTTACATACATACGAGTTGAGTAGCAAAAAATATACATACAAAAAAAAAAAAAAAACGGTCATCGACCTCCCGCCAGTCAGCCAGCTTTTCAAAGGCGTTCTACAAGTGTTAAAAACTAACCACCCGTGACCGTTACACAATAATAATATCCTGATGTGTGTAATCAGCACCGCAGATTACGCAACAGTTTGGATAGCGTCTAAAAATAGTTACCTATATGTTTAGTGTTCATGTTCTTGTAGAAAAGAGGCGGAGAAGAAATTTATACCAAGTAGCTAGTATACTAAAGTTAACAAACACCTAAACCATCATTAGTGCACGTGTCCGTCGTCGTCACCTTTGCAATGTAAACTTAAAAAAAAAAAATATTCACACGAAGACAATCTACACGATCTAGTTTAGTTTAATAATGTAATATATTGTTTCTTATCTCGAAAAATTTAATTAATTTTGTTTGATATTTGATTATATTTAGTTGTTAATAATCGACTAACGCCTTATATTTGAATTTCTTAAACCGCTGTCGTCCCACATATCACTCGATACCTGCTCATTATAAATAATATTATAATATCGGACAGTAATAATTCTCTAAATACGTTTGGTTTGATCTTTATTATTATTATTATTATTTATTCGAACACTCGTGATGCAGGTTAAACCTGTTTAATATTCTTCTCTATATAATATTTTTGGTTTATTTTTTTATTGACTGACGACGAACGAACGCTGCAAATGACGCGTATTAAAATATATTATATAGCACAATATGTATTATTCTCGTTCGTGTCTTCTAGTATCAGTACGTGTTGATTATAATAATATATACTCGTATATTGAATACAATTTGTGAACTCTGCATTTTATGACTCGTTACGTTTTCGATGATATTATACATAATTATAATATAGAGGTACTGGCTTTGTTATTGTTTTTTGTTTCATTCAACCCTACTATTCGATTCGATTGAATTGCACTTCGCCGCCGGAGAACGTTTCTCACATTTGAGTACCTATATAATATTATATACAGTATGCATGTAGTCAACCGTTGAACTTTTATTATAATTAAATTTAAAAAAAAAAATAATAATAATATCGAGTGCACTAAATATAACGAGAGTGTATTGGTAATTTGTCTAGACTACCAAGCTCAACGGTTGTACAATTTTTTTACTCTTTTTTTGTATAGTTTTACGGTTTGTGTTTATTTAATTATATACAAAAACTTGGGCGCGATTATATTTTATCGTCGCAACCAAATGATATAATAATTGTTACGGTATTGTTATTATTATTAGGAAGGATGTTTTTTTTCCTTTTTTAAACCGGTTTATATATTAATTTTGTTCTCGTCTTCCTGGCGTATTTTTACGTTCGTCCCACTCTTCTTGTATCTACATACTAAGCTTCTTAGTTCTCGACGGCGTTATAGTTATATTGGTCCAGAATCAAGATGTACCTACCTAATAATCTATATTATAAAATGAAACGTAGTAAAAAAATTGAAACCGGATAATACATTTAATAATTTTATATGTTAATAATTATTTCTACGATTATTACATTCATTTAAAATAGTCGTCTAGAACTCAGAAGTACTGTATTTTCAGTTTTTGAATTTATTATTGAATTAGTTATAATACAAATCCAGATGTTATAGTTCTGTGAAAAAAAAATTTAAAAATAATATCTACATAAAGTAACGCAGAAAATCACCAAAAATCGACAACCACTGACAAGTATATACCATGTAGGGTAATATAGTTTATACTGAATCTCCAAAAGCAAGATAAATTATTACAATCAAAAAACTATTCTAAGTAAAGTGAAATTAGTTATGCTGTTTTCATTTGTAGCAAAGGTAACCCATGCAATAAATTAACAAAAAATAAAATCAAAGTAGCGACATTTGTTATCAATTTTTAAATTTGTACAGAAAAACTTTTATGAATGTAGATATTTTTTAAAGTACCGCCTGAGAAAAATACGAATTTAAACTATGAAATATAATAATTATTATATATATATATATATATACGTATAGATATATTTATAAGAAAAAAAATTGGTTTCGAAAATTAATAACCTATATTGTTGATTATTTGAATGCAATATTTAGATACCGAAAATATTCGTATAATTTATAAAAACTTGGAAATCATACTGATTATTTATATTTAAGTTAAATATTGACTTGTTATCCCTTGTAGTCTCATTCTGAGTGGTTTACACTCAGCAAAGTGCGAAGTTTTTCTGGCCAGTTTTTTTATTATTATTTCTATAACCTATTAATTACGGCATTGGCATTAATTTTGGGTCTGGATACTTGACAACTTAACTTATTGATCTATTTATGTAGGTTACTTAATTTGTAATAAACCTACCGTAACAATTTTTGATTGCATAATATTATTTTATAATCTACTTAACTCAATTGAATATAAAATTAATTTTTTTCTCCCAAATAATTGAATTTATTAAGTATTAACTAAATATTAAGTATTATTTATTAAGTATTATTATTATATAATATATTATAATATGGTTTCTGTTATTTTTAGTGTAGGTATCAAACGTCATACGCATATTTAATAATATTCATATTATAATTTGTACACTTGTAATATTATTTTGTACAAAGATAAATTATTGAATGTTCAGCGTTTGAGATATAATATTTTGTTTTTATATTAAAATCGGTTGAAATTACCGTAAGTATAATATGACGAATATGGACTTGGGCGATATTTTTACATTAATGCTTTCCACGCTGTCCTGCTGTTCATATAAATAATATAAATTTAACCGTGTTCACGTGTATAGTATTGGCGTTTTATAGTACCAAGTATGGTTAGGTTAGTATATGAATAGTATTTCATAAATGATTATATATATATATATATATTTATAAAAATAAATACATAATATAGTAACTTTAGTAATACAATACTCCCTTAGTTTTACAAAACTATTTCAATATTTCAATACATCGCAGATAGTACAGTATAATGTCTTATACTTATATATATACTTAATATATCAGAGCGACATAACCGGTCTATATTACGATGATGTGTAGAATAATGAAAGTTTGGTATATATAGTTAACGATTAACAGAATACTGATTCCAATATTAAACTTCTATAAATATCATCATATAATATTATATTACATTGTATAAACTTTTCATAAAATATTAAAACAAAGACAAACTTTTTAGTTTATATCTTCAAAAATTAATAATATCACTCCCACGAGTAGATACATATAAAATTGTGTTTTATTGATTGTGTTGAATTTTCCCAGAAAAAAGATACTATTGTACCGTATACTGTGCCTTTTATATATTTACATTTTCTTGCTACTTTTAGATAATTTTAGCGACTCTCTGGACCAGCCAAATGTGTTCAAACTCGGGAATCTGTGTGGTTTTATAGGTATATTGAAGTGTACTAGTTAGATTGAATTTCACGATGCTGTTGGGAGGGAAGAGTTGTGTTTTAGCTATGAACAACCCGCCCCTATAACTCCTAAATGAAGCCAGAGGGATGGAATTTTGTATACATTTTATAATGCTGTTATTATTAAAGATAATGTACCTTTTGAGAGTTTTAACTTCCATACTTCGCTTCTACTATTTTTATGATCCAATTTTACCATGATTTTGAAAGTAATATACTACTATGGGTAATATATGACTGTATAGCGTTATATTATTATGGGATTTGGTTATTTATTATTTTACAAAGAAGATATTTATAATACAAAATGGCTGGGTGAAAATTTAACTAGTGACAGAGCTCTGTTGATTACTCGTTCTTATTGTATGTTTTTACTTCTCATTCTTAAAATCGTAACGCACTATACCTATATATAGACAATTCACTCTTTATTTTTAAATAGATTTATATTTTAATAATGGGAACGAATGAAAAAAAAAACAAGTACCTGTTTTAAAACGAGTCTGTATATTATATTATGTTTAATGTGTTTACACTCCTGGCTCTATAATATAGATTATGTTAGTTTTTAAACATAAAAATGTACAGTTAACTGCTGCGGCTAAACTACACGATGAAAATATTGCGTGTAAATTATCTATAAGTAAATTAGAAAAAACAAATTAAAATTAATATTTATAATGTCGCACGTAAATAATATTATACACGGTTGGTCATAATAACCCTGCAGACGGTGATGATTGAAATAGAATTGGTTGTAAAGTCGTGGCAAGTCAAAAAAAATTATGTTTTGTAAATTATCGTAAACGTGGTTTTCTTGTATTTATTAGCTATACCTATAATACACTGCAGTATTGTAATAAGTCGTCGGTAACATTTCAACTAGAATAATTAACCAATAGAAGTACCTACTTGCTATAATATAGTATGTTATATACAATATACATACCTACTACATATATTGTATATACTACATATACTACTATATTGTCGAATAATCTTACCATTTTTGTCGCACGCGCATGAGGATAATAATAATATATAGGGAGTGGTTAAACACGTTGTATCGAACTCGTTTTCAGCATTTCTTATGTGCGTTCTACCGGCCCCAAATACTTACAGTACTTTTTCATTTTAATTTTTTTATTATTATATTTTCACCCTTGCTCGATTTTTTTTTTTTTGATACTTACATTTCCGTATTTATATATATATATATACGTTTATAAATAATTGACCCGAATATAATAATAATGATGATGATAATATTATTATATAGGGCACCGGAGTAAAACCGATATACTCGAGAGTGAATAAAAACTGTACTTGCATGTATACCTATAGGCAGAGGTATTACAGATGATAATATAGGTAGGCGCCCGGAGGCATCGTCACGCCGTCGCCGTGGATGAGATTCCCGTTTGCATTCTGCACCATTAATTACGTCGTTTAAATTCCTGGCAAACTGTTTTTTTTTTCATCGAAATAACATATTCTTCGTTTATGTGAATGCGCGCGCGCGTGTGTGTATATAGTAATAATTGCCTTGAGCGATTGTTCAGAAAGAAACCTGACGTGAAGCACTGTGTGTATGTATAATATACGTGCCATCAATACGAATATAATATGTATTTTATTTGCTGTGAAATTAGCGTTCCTATAATATTATGATGATTGAAAACAATTACAAAATGGTTAAATTAATTTTTTGATGTGCATGTGTGTAATTATTGTCGCGCGTATTGGCAGTGGTGTAGCTAGAATTTCTAAATAGGGTGATGGTTAGGTACAAAACAAACCTAAAATTACATGTTTGTCTACATGGGTGTAGCTAGGTTTTCAATCAGAAGGGAATAGAGGGTTAACATTTTTTCTGAAAATAGGAGAAAAATTGATTTTACGTGCATGAATCATATGTCCATATTACTTCTTTAAAATTCGTGTATAACCACTCGTAATATAGTTTATTGTATAACAATTCCATGCTTAAATTTAAATATAATGAAGTAAAATTGTATTATTTGTGTATATAACATTATGATATTTATATTAATAAAGGCAATGCTATACAGAGTACGAGTAAGTAGGTACATTAGGAAATCAAATGCAATCTTAGTCACAGAGTGGGGGATCTTGAAGCAATGGCTCTCGGTGATTTTAAGGGAAAGTATTGGGTAAATAAATCACAGGGTGGTGAGTTTCCCACTCTGTCCCACCTTCGTTACACCTATATTTTTAACGTGTTATTTTCCTTAATTGCATTTATAAATTTACTTGGGATTCAATGGAAAACGAAAATAAATCACATATACCAAGATGTAACATAAATATATTAACAAACATGGTCAATAGGAAGGACATCGACCTCGTGTTCCCCTGGCTACGTCACTGTGTATCAATGTATGTTGTTTATTAACTTCCGGAAGTATTTTCATACCGACTGTGATTTGAAGTACACAATTTGTAGTTTTTGTTTGTTTCGTGTTTAAGTGTTCAATTATATTTACCTATTTTACCTATTTGTCTGCGCGTGTTACGTGTGTTATGTTCCAGCAGTTGCGTATATTTTCACGATTTTTCGTTGTCACACCAATGTACTTACATGTATATAGTAGTTTGAAATGCAAACATAAACAAATCCCACGATTGTCAATTTTATAGACAAAGTATAAATATTATTTTATTATTATTTATTAGTCACATTATACTCATAGTATTGAAAACGAACTCCGGATTATTATTAGGTAAATATTATAGCGGAACAAATAAAATAACTGTGATAGTGTGAGATTACGATAGAAACATATCTAAACCTTTATATTTAATATTTTGCTTTGACTTATAAGAGTCGTCAAATACAAAGATAAACACAGAGAATAAATGAGGATGATGATTATTATTCACGATTAAAATAATAGTTTTATTATATAGTTTGAATTCTGTGAAATCGTAAATAATATTGGTAAATAGGTATCTAACACAAATATAACATTTCCATCGTGTTTGCGATTGCAATGGGAAATAATTTACTAAATGTATTCGTTGACGAAAACAAATTACAATGATATAAAATATAAATTTAGTTTAATGAAAAGGCGCATATTATAGAGATAAAGCTTCTACATTATACGCGTATTATGTGGCCGAGAAATATTTAGAAATCGCACAATTAACGAAATACGCATAATATTTCCGAGGAGTTTTGAATAATTTATTCGACCGGACTACGGCTGTGTTTTAATCCGGTTATTCGGAGTACGAACCGCGCGGGGGTAGGTATATAGATGTATGCGTATTAGGTGACTGGAAAAGGATAACGAAATTTGAATTTTAACACCTATATGTATGTATGTATGTATGTATGTATGTATGTATGTATGTATGTATGTATGTATATATATATATATATATATATATATATTCACGTATTATAAAATACTTGCTGTTATATACCGTAATAATCATCGTAATACAATATCCCGTGGCTCGCGAATTGGCCTCCGTCGACGGCGGCGTGACGGTCTTACAGCTTTTGCAGTTTTCCGCGGCTATGTTATAATAATGTGAACGTGACCCTTATATTTTATCGGTACCTCATGCTATTTGATATAATAATATACGAACACGGTATATTATGGTAATGCTGTACGGTGTATCGATTAAAATATAATAACGCGTTGTCAACAAATCGTAGCTCCGATGTCTTTCGGGTTTTTGGATTTACCGTATAGGGCCCCGAAACTGTCATAAACCTCGACCCGAGGTCCTGCAAATACTTTCAGCTGTATTATAACAACCACGATTATTTGTTCGCTGAATATAATAAATGTTTTGTACCAAACATAGATGATAATATTATTGCTTATAATGCCGCGTGCGTTAATAACGACATACTTGTGGATTTATTATTTTATTTGATCGTTTCTTCTCGCAATAATGTAATAAACGTGTCCTCGATGTTTTATACTTGAAAACTTTTTCAAAACCTTGGCATGTATATACGCCAATTTTTTTCTTCCAACCTACTATGTCTTCAATGAAAGGTTAGGTATATAATAGCTTTATTGCGGTTTTATTATCCATCTAATCGTCGTCCAATCAATATCGTCACATTAACATAAAATGTGTTTAGGTTTTGAATAATAATTTCGAGAAGCACGCTGTCAATTGCCGCTTCTTGTGTACAAGTATTATGTTTATCAGCCATTCGATTTGTCATTGCCGTCTCATTTTCGAAAGTCTAAATACTTGTATGTATTTGAATAAAACTTAAAAGCTCCTTTAAAAATCTGTCAAATTCAATTTTGTCGCATCATTAAATCAACATAATAATATAATTACGGGTTTTTATGTTATGTGCGGGGAAATAAATTGAATGATGTTTTCATTTGTTTTAAATGAAAACGCGATTTATTCATTCGTCATAATTATTACTCATCAACAAATATTTTAAACATACGAAAAAATATTGTCCTAAATAGTTTAGTTATTTGTATTATTATTATGTGCATACGTATTTTGATTTTTAACATTTTATAATTTTTAAATAAAATTGTGTTACCTATTATGTACCTAATAGATGGAATATAGATGTAAGTGCACAGCACTTACTTACCTGTACCGAATCTTGGAAATGTTATTCTCGCGTCCACGCCGAAAATCACATACCTATACCTACTTATACGTTTTATTTCGCGTCCTTGTGTATTATTGTTGTTACCATTTGTCGTTATTGTAAGGCAATCAGCGTATTTCGTTTTAACATTCTATATTATAACATTTATAACTGTTCATGACCGATGGATTGCATTGTTTGACGCACCTCTACCTATATTACAGTCGTGCAGTCAGTGCAGCGTCGTCGTACTCTCGCTGCTGCAGTTGTTGATTTATGAAAACGCTCGTCACTGTTTTGAATAAGACATTTTTTAAAACTTTTCACGAGAAAGACATCATGTGCAGCAGTGCCTGCAAGTATCCGCCGCCGCGTATTAGCTTCAAAATAACCTGATCTGTCGGTCTGTGCAGTACAATGCGTTATGGCCCGGGGTTTTTTTTCCCCAGTTGGAATGCGGACGATTCTCACATCGTAATAATATAGTTTGTTGTCACGTGGGCCAATAGTAACTTATATAGTAAATAATAATATCAATGATGCTTAACGATAAATCATTGACAGAGAGGTGTTACCTCATCGTCATCAATATAATAGTTAATATGTACAATGACGTAGGTTTATACAGAATCATTACTTTATTATACAAACAGGTGATTATCAACAACGACGATTTCGTGCAAATGCAATTTTGGTTTATTTAAATTATCATGGCTCATTCACAATATTTTTAAAACGTCACCCTTATTATTGCGCATGTGTCTACATTGTAAATTGTCGATTTTTTTACAGTAACCATACATGTTTTTTGAACTCAGATTAATATAGAGACATTTTTATAAACTATTTTTCCAGATTTAAAATAAAATAATAAATTATACGCTGTACGTTTTAATATGATGTATATTGTTATTCAAATATACGTAATTATGTAAAATTCAGAATTGTCTAAGCTTATTTCAAATTAGATTTAAACAACATTTTATACGACAAGAATCGATTTTATATTCGCTCGTTAATACTACAATATACTCGTAAATCATTCGTCGTAGATAATACTTTTGAATTATACGTTTTAAGGCACTGTGCAATTCAATATTTTTAATTAATCATACAGCTACTATCTATCGTGTCTATTTTACTTAATCCGTAATTTATCCGTAATAATATATAATAATATATGAATTTATATTGATAATTCGGACGCAGCTGCATTTATCGCGTACATCGAGTTTCTCAGTGACGGTTTTTTTCTTATTTCCAATTATCGTCTTGCTACTATATAGTCTGGCGTTTCCAGATGGGTTGACACGACGGTAGACAGACGCCAAAACAAATTATCGGAGCACTCACTTTAATAAGATGGCGTATATAGTTGGTCTACGACACAACAACCCTGCAGTAGTTGTATGGTACCCCCTATGGTGATGCGAATTGTTTGGATATAGTATTCGCAAAAATGATTTCTAATAAATCCAATTTACTATAGAAAAGTCTAATATAAGTATTCCATGAAAATGTCTTGTCTTTACAATTTTATTTTTAACTGAATTGCAAAAAAAAAAAAAAAAATCAAAAATAATAAAATTATTTCATTATGGTCATTATTGTTACCTTTTTTTTCGAATTATTAAGAAAACTACAAGAAAAATCAAATAATTTACTTTTAATTTTAATTCGTTATTTTCCACCCTTGATTTAATGGTTCGTTGAATGTAGGTATATTTAATTTATATTTATTACTTGATTGGTTATCCTGACGTATGGAAACTGCCAGCGCGTGTCTATTCGTTCGTTTATTATAACATAATGTCGTCGTCTTATTTTTTTTTAATTACACGCATAACAAATTATTATTCGTCTTATACATCAGCTGCACTTCCGATTTCTTTAGTTCTTATTAGTCGAACCTAAATTCCGGTTTTACCATATTTTGTCACGGTTCGTTTGCCCACTTAATGAGACACCTCGCGGGCAGTTGTACCCATTGTCTTCGGTGCATTGTGTTCTCTAAAATAGGGTGACGGCTACATCGGTTAGAAATAGGTTTCTTTCCAAAACGCAGTAATAATGGGGAGACCGCCGAATTTCGTAAGCTGTGAGGGTACAGAAAGAAACGATAATACAATCCGTTTAAAATTTGAATAGTATTATTTATAGATTGTGATTTAATTTTATTTCTACTTATATCTGTCTTTCAAACTAATTTTGTCTTTATTAGTATGTACTTTAAGTAAATCATTTAAAAAATGGGAAAATTAGAATTCAGAGCAGGTGTTGTGATATTGTAAATTTGGACGAAATATTTAAAGTTTTTAACAGACCATTCGAACCATTCAATTAAATACCTGCGTACCTATAAATTAGTTGATGTATAATATTTCAATATACTTATAGTTTATCATAATCATCATAAAACTGACCCATAAATTTGTTTTACCGTTAATATGGACATATATTTTAAATAATAAAACTAATCGAGAATTTCTATTTATTTTATTTTTATCCCTGTCATCATTTCTACATATCTAATCTTTTCATGCGATGTTTACTTTCGCTCAGGTTCGGAAATTAATCGCGAAACCCCATATTTTTTTTTATGGCCAAGTAAATTTCAAACCTTGATAAATGTCATTTCCATATTATAATATATTTTTCTTAAAGCGGCAATTTTTTATTACGCCTCACTCTGCACACGCGTTTACGACTCTGGGAATAATGCAATTTCGATTTTATACCACGCGTTCAAAACTTTTTCTTACTATCTCGAAAAGCAATCACGGTGAGTTAAATCATATAATAGTACCGCTGTACACGATTTTTGTGATTTATGTACTTATTATAATTATTGCAATATTTTAAATTAATATAATAATAGCTGCTACTGTACAAATAGCAATGATATTTTATAAAATCAAGTATTGTGGAGAATTTACAGGCGTATGCGACTTAAAGACATTTTCGTCGTATATAAATGTATTATTTATTATACCATGATATAAAATGTTCGTCGAAATATTTTTATTATTCAACTTTATAGTTTATAACTCTTATATATTTAGATGATAAATTATTAAAGTTTAAATATCTTAATAAGTATAAAGTAAAAATATTATATAAGCTATAAACCTTAGTCCTTAATCTAACTATGTTGAATTACACAAACTCGTTGTTCCTAGAATATTTGTATGATCTTTAATTTTATGATTAAGGTTCAATATTAAATAAAAGTTTACAAGTTCGATATACATACTTAATATAAGAATTAAATCTTATGTATTAAAAATAAATTTAAAAAAGAAATAATAATAAATAAATTCGTTAATATTTTAATATTTATGTATGATAAAAATTATTTCCTATTAAGAAATGACCTCTTGTCGATTTTTATTTTCATATTTTTTCTACATAAATTTCCAATAAAATTATATTTTTAATTAATCAAAGTAATTGTATTAATTATATTTTATCGGAAGTAAATAATTGTTAGGCATAGTTAAATAATTAAAATCCACGAATAACGATATAATGTATCCAAGTTAGATTTTGCGGTGTATTAAACTAAATAATACTGTGGTAAGACAGGTTCTTGATAAAAAAAAAAAAAGTCGGTGAACTAGAAAGTAACTCATTAAAACTACTGCTTTCGTAACTATATAACATATGAGGATCTAATGGTTTTTTTTTTCAAACAATGGACCATAATGGAATTTTCATTATAAGACCCTTAATTTATAGTCTTGCACCAAATAGGTTAACGAGAGGGATAACGGAAACCTATATAGTGAAAATAATATTTTGCAGTTATTTTTCATCAACAATATAAACCCGTTATTTTTTAGAACTGCACTTTACACATTTTGCACTACTGCTAATCGGATATAAATTTTAATTTTATGCTAATATAGTAATAATAACATTTTAATCAGAATATTATATTTATTATTAATATTTATTTGCGATTATTTAAAAACATTTTGATTTTGATTTTTCTTCAATATAACTGTTTAATGATAACTTCAAAATTTGATCCATGTATCATAAATATGTCATATATTTAATTTTCAAACAGCAACCGACATTTAAATAAATAACGATTTGAAAAAAATGTTTTTATACAAATTTTTATAAGTAGTATATCATGTTTTTCAATATTGAATATACTGTTTATGAGTTATTAAAATTTAAGATCGGTCGGAAGTCATAATCTTAATTACTCATTTTAAATTTTGAGTAATAAAACCTATGAAAGATATATCCGATATTAATAAAGTGTATACAAATCAATAGTTGATGTATGTAGGTATACAGAAAAGATGTTGAAAATGTTGAAAATATTGTAAACCAAATCATCAAATAATTTTATAATGTTTGAGAAAATTAAAATTAAATTTATTCATGATCTTCCCAGATGATCGTTAGTTTACCTTATATTTTAATTTAAAATGTTTATGATAAAGAAAATACTCACTTGTATTGGTTTTCGTAATATAATTATAATAATCATGATAATTTAACGAAGTATAAATTTATATAGATTATATAAAAAAAATTATGCATAGATAATTATAGACTAATTAGTCAATTATTGTACTTGTGAATAGTAATGATCGAAAATGATTATAACAGTTCAAGTGAGTTTCAATGAACATCATTATACTGGTCCAGGTTCTTAGGAATTTAACCCTTAATCATTCTTTCTCGTGGCATCTTGTCAAAGTCTCTCAAGGGTATAACATAACGTTAAAAATATGTACCTATTATAAAATTACTTAATCCCTTGATTTTGAAACTAGTGTCAATAGTTTAATTTGAATATAATATATAGTATATACTTAATTATATTGTTCTCTCTATTATTAGGTAGATACTCGACTCGTTTGAGATAAACAAGATTAAAAAAAAAAAAAAAACATTTTTATATTAAGTTGAACCAAATTAAAAGGGTTATGATTATTATACGAGAGTATTCATCCTTTAAAAATATTATAATAATATATTTTGCGTTTCTGTTAAATATGAACATTAAATCATATTTATTAATTTTTATTATAATTATTAATTTCATTAGAACCAAGCGCTTAAAAATTGTCTGAATTCAACAACTGCAGTTTTAATACCTTATTTACTAGTATTTTCGGTGTAAATACAATATAAAATATCATATAACGTCATTTCTAATTAGTTTATTTAAAAAAAAAAAAAATTTTAAAAATGAATACACAATAGATAATAATATTAGGTATTTATTGCCAATTAAAATATTTACAAATTTTTATCAAAATTTAATGTAAATATAATTATCATATTTTTTTCTATACATTGGAACTAAAAAATAACAAATATTTGAATCCAGAATGATAGTTATTATATTTTTTCAAAAATATCCACAAAAGTGGACCAAATAATAAAATATATATTATTCATGCTTAGTGCTCAATAATATACACGACTAAAATCAATGCAATATTAATCGACATAAACTTTGATTTATTTTTTGTTGTTTATTATTAATTAGTATACTTATTTATTAATTTATTGCGTAACATGTATTAGTTTCTTTAATATAAGAATGCAGACACAAATACGGGTTCCTCATATTTTACCATGAAATGAATAAAATGGGGGCCCACTACTTTGTTTTTAGTCCTAAATAGAATTTACGATGAACCTTATTGTATCTTAATTTATAGAGCATATTTGTTGTAACCATATTGTTTTATTCACATGCATGGAAGATGCACAAGCAACTAGTAGACAATTTAAGTGATTTTTATAAATTTTATCGTAAAACTAGAACAGTTTAAAACAAATCCCTATTAAAGAATTTTGATGGTCTTGGTTAATCACAATAACAACTTATGGTGTTTAAAATTGTTAAGTATTTATCAAGTACTTATATCACTCAATTATTTATATTTTTTTAAAACCATTTAGAATCGTAAAAAAAACACACACAAACTTCAAATGGTTATAAATAATTCGAAAAATAACACAATATTTCGAAAATTATATTATGTCTAGAAAATGTTAATATTAGTATTTGTTGATAATTTCCGGTCTCTATGGTTATGTTTCACTAACTTTTTTTTTTATCCATAAAAAATAGTAACCGTTAATGTGTAAATATTTCCATTTTTCAAATTTTTCCAATTTTCCCCTATTATTTATAATTATATTAGAAAAATACAAAATCATAAAATAAATCTCTTTGTGCCACTAACTAGACAAAATTTAATAGTAGATAGCACTCTTGAAGTTGATGATTGAAGCAAGATCTCTGGTTAAAAACTTAGTTACAGGCAGAAAAAAAAAGTGCACATCATAGAAAAATGAAGAAAATTTCTGGTATCCCGGTGGGTTGACACGCACCTAAAAATACCGATAGTTGGAAACTCATAATAATAATGTATAATAATAATAATACTCCCAAATGAAGAATCGATATCAACTCACGCAGGTTACGCTTGATTTAGTTACGTACACTTCCTGTTGTAAATCGTTGGAATGATCGGAGGATTTTAAAAATATATGATGCGTCGTATATGACCTCGGAAAAATTTAAAATAGGAATTAAGGGACAGACGGAACTATGCTACCACGAGAGGGAAATACGTTGTACCCGATTCTAAATAAAAGGTTTCTGTATAACGTGCACGATTTAAATAATTTTATTTGCAGTACAGTAATTGTATTGTTGAATACTATACATTGTATAGTCGTATGTCGTTTTGCTCATCTCAATTCAAAAATGCAAAAAGGTGATCTATATATTATTATTTTGATTATGAGTATTGAATTTAAATTTAAATGCTTATGACCCTTTTAAGATTTTTTTTTACTGTAAAAAGTAATCCGTTTAGAATAACACCTGTATTTAATTTCTCTGCACGGAAGGATCTCTCTTTCTATATATAAATAATAAAAAAAAAAACACAAACGAGAGACATAAATACATAAATCACAGTAAAAGTTATGAACAATTTTATTGAAGAAATCGTCATTCAATTTTAAATTTAAAATAATATATTCAAAATTTGAACAAAAATTAAATATAGGTAGCTTTAATTAAAATATTATAGTTATAATAATTATTAAAATATTATTCCAAATCTAAACGAATAATTTGTTAAATTCTTTTATTTTCTAACTTAACACATTTTAAATTATTAAATGTCAAATAAGTTATCCACCTACTAAATATTAAGGGGCTGCCATTAGTTTTTATAAAAACACTACATTGCCGAACGAAGTTAATGTTTATTCCTGAATTTTAATAATAATAAAAAAAATAAAATATATTTTGATAATATGCAAAAGCTATTGAAATTAATAAATATTTTGAATGATGAAAATGATAAATTGCTTTTTGCGAATGATTTTTTTCATTACAAATTACTTACCATTACTTTTCACAAACAATATCATAGTTAAAGTACCAAATTTAATTGAATAATTTTTAATCCTAATGCTAATGACAATAGTTGTAACTTAGTTAAGTATTAGAAAAAAAATATTAAAAAATAGTAAACACTAAATACAATGTACGTGAAATAACTATCATTGGAAAAAAAAAGTTTATTGTTGATAAATTTTAAAGTTTAATGGCCTATTTCTCTTTGTAAGCCATTATATAACTCTAATTATTTCTAGTGCGCTTTCAACCAAAAAATAATTTTTCGTTTTGGTTTTAATTATAAATATCAGTGTATTAACTATAATATAATATGTTTCGAACTCAAGTATATAGAAATGCATAATATATAAACTGAAAGGCTTTATGTAATATATACCTAATGTATGTGTTTTTTTTTTTTTACAGGTGTGTACAAATATTATGAACTTTACTAAGAACTTCAAAAAACCGTAAATATATAGACATTTTTTAAATTTACAAAATAAATTTTGTATTATTCGTAAATACCCGTATATAAGTTTAAATATAATTTCAGCCGTTAGTTAGGTTCCCTATCTATGGTCTATTAAATATGAAGACCTCCCCTTTGTCAATCATGTATTTAATTTTTTACAGCTGGACCATATTTCCCCCCCGGATTTTATTCATCATTTACAATAGATATATTATGTGCTCTCCCCTAAAATCTAAAGGGACATCGGCTACCTGACGATTATAATATGACAATTTATTATATACGGTTTTTATATACATATTTTTTATTACTTACTAAGCGAAATTTATAACCTGTCTTTCTTATCTTAAACTGATCAATTGCTACTCATTGTATTGTGAACGGATTATATTATTATGTTATTCTATGACAATGTATTATATGTAAAAACTATTTGCATGCAAATATTTTCGTTCGGTCTTGCCCAATTACTATCATAATATGCACGGTACAGCTTTATGTAGTAACAGTAATTTATTATTATCCGATTATATATATATATATATAAAAAATATATATAATATGATCGGTGTAGTCCAGTATTTATAACCTTAGAAATATTGGCATAGTTGTATGATTTAAAAAGAAATTTAATCATTGCGCATATTACATGATGTGTGATTATAATATATATTTTAAAGTTTGTAAATGGCTACGTTACTAGTAAAATTATTAAATTCAAATTACATCCCATGTAATAGTTTTATATAGTACGAGTATTATGGTAGGTGGATACGATTCAAGCGATTTATACGTTATAAAATTGTGTGTAAATTTAAAGTCACAATTTGGGAAAACTACTTATTCTTTTCATATTTGTTTTTCGCTGCGTATAATTTTATACTTTTTCATGACTTATACTATTCCCGAATTTATGATTTATATAACATCAAAAATATAGAACTTTACTTTTATTATTTTGTTTTTTGAGTTAATTGTATAGTGGATATTTATACAGCGTGATATATTAATTACTCCAACGATAATCTTTTTAATTTACATATTTGTTTCGGTTTTTAGTCATTCTTAAGGGCGTTATTGCGGTTGCGGTCGTATGGTATTTTAGGTTTTTTTTTTAGAACATTTTTTGATATTTATTTTTCTAGACATTTAAATCCCAACCCCATTTATTACTCTGTGGGGACAAATAAATGGATAATACGCGTAATGCCTATTATACAATATATACCCACCCATACAATAGGTTACCATGACCAGTGGTCTCCGAACTTGTGGTCTGTCACGCGTATGGTGGAAGGGAGATTGCGACTGCAGGGATGACAGATGGATATACATATGTACGAGAGATCGGACAGCAATCACAATTATTTTATTTTATATATTATCGCGTATATTATAATACGACGACGTGCGTATTATTATACTACGTAAACATATACTGTCGCACGTAATCCGTCAGAGGTTTTTTTTTAAAAATTTTTTTAATGGCGATCTCATGTTTTATATTGTTATAAAAATATGTAGTAAACCCGTCGCGTTGTCGCTGTGCTCGTAACCCTATCGGACGACGGCGGCGACGGCGTTTGTCCGTTGGGCGCGCGTCGAGCGACCCCCTCGACCTTAGACGACGGCGGCCACGGCTGTCACGTCACATTATAATATTATCATGTGCGATTTTTGAGTTCTGATCATACGCATTATCATAATAATAATAATAATTTTCGGTGCCATACGGGTTTTCGACCGGTAGTACAATATTATAATAGCTCGTCGTGACAATATCAGTGTACCTATACGATGATAACCGTCACCAGGTGTGATTTGTCAGATTATCCATGGAAAACAATATGATTATCGACAGTGCCACTGCCGCCGACGATCCCGTCACGTTATATTATATTCTTTTTAATATCCGTGAACAGCAGAGCTCCGTCACTATACATAGAGTCAAATTTTCCCCCAGCTGACTCGTCGCTTTAATAATTCATTTTCTTTTCTTATGATTGTTCTAAAATATATATCTGGTTGATTGAGTTTTATTAGATTTTAGATTTTACGTGTATTTAAAACTATGTTTTTTTAGTGAAACCATACAATAGAAAGGATTGCGGAGGGGTTGAATGTTAAAACCCCCATAACGCAAATCTTTGTATTTACTCCATGTTTATGTCATTCTCTTATTATTTCCGGAGTTTATAGGTGTTAAAAAATTAAAACACACCCTCCTTTCATAAAAATTATATGGCAAAAATTCATATTGAAGTTCAACCAAAATTTTATCACTTCAATCCGCCTATAAAACAACTTTTATTTCCGACTTTGAGTTCCTATGGTATTGATTGAGCCACTAAAAGTGTCCAAAAGTAGCAGGAAAATACAGACACAATACAATGCAATAATTTCTATTTTTGGAGAAAATTTGACAATAATATTGTGAAAATCACGGCAATAGGGAGTTTGAATTTAAAGAGAAGGGTGCGGTGGCCAAAATTTCTCGGATCGAATTCGAATGGAATTATTTCAAAAGCTGAATGTTTTGATAATACCATTAATATGAAAATATTGCAAATACTGATTAAGTTTGGTACCTAATAATCAAGGTTTTTTGTTAAAGAATATATGCGCGCAATATATTACTTATTTTGAAAATATCAGTTTTCTCACAGAATTTCAAAATAATATTATATTATTATATTTTAATAATTATAAAATACCTTTCGTGAACAATAATAATGAATTCAATTTTAAACTGGTGCCGTACAGCGTCGAAGTCTTTAATAAACAGTAAAAGAAAATACGATTAAATTGAATACATATCCTATACTGTAGTTAAATTAGTTTACATGTCAAAGCAACAGCGTATAATTAATAATTTTAATATTATAAAACTCAATTTGATATACTTTTTGTTTGGTATTTAAATTCATTAAGTTTATTTGTAATTAATAATCATCTTGTTCATATACGTTTCAAAATGCATTTTAGGGTTTACGAAATACATGAAATGTGTTAGTTTTTAATATAAACTTAAATAGTCTTCGCATGAAAAACATAGATACGCGCCTTTGATACATTTTTAATGATAGTAGTTGGTAGTTATTCAAAGAAGTTAGAAATCATCTTCACGATTACAAACTAGGTTTAAACAATTTTCCTCGTACTTTATAATAATATATATATATATATTTATTATATTATTTACATTTATTTTTTATGTATTTATACTACGGCTAATGTGATAAAATCGGTTAATGTCGTTATATTTATAGTTTAACGAATTTTGTGCTGTTAGTTTTAATATTAGAGTGTATTGACACTATCAAGGTAAGTTCATTGTTATGTGTTTGTAAGTTGGTTTTTTCGATGTTTTAATTTGTATACCAGATTAGATAATTTTTAAATTATAATATTTCACACATTCATAACTTGATTGAAATTTAAAATATCGAACAATGTTCATTCCTTTAAGTTTAAGTATAATAATAAGATAATGGTTAATATATTCCTATATGAAAACTAACCGCACAAAATAGATTTTTATACACAAAAAGTATGAGTATAACGACAATGACTAATTTTACCATATTAACCGTAACATAATGTGCATTATACATAGGTATTAAAAAGTAATTGTAGATTGTGATCTGCGAGCACATATTATCCATTCTCGACTGTCTTATTTCTTTTAATCTTCCTTGGTCTAACATCCTTGACTTAAATCATTTTGAACATAATGTATCCCTTATCATAATATAGTTGTTATTCTGAAGAGAGTTTTTACGATTAATTTTCTTTTTTATAATTTTTTTTTTTTTTATGTCTTGTTACTATTATAGTTATAAGTAGGTATATTAAAAGCAAAAACAAAAAAAACTGACACTAAATCGACGTCACATGTATGACCGTCGTCGTCATCCCCTTTTTTCGTGTTCTCCCCACGTTCGGCCCGGTCCGGTTTCCCATTATGTATAAATAATAATTATCATATTCTATAATCCCGCGACTATCGTGTAAACCGTTGACGGCGAACACATTGCGTAGTAGTATAATAATATAATAGTAACAGATTATTATTTTTTCCCGGTTAATTGTACGTGGGCCCGGGCTCCGGGCGATCATCTGTCGTGATCCTGTACTCTCAAACAGCAGTAGAGAACTTTATGTATATAATATTTATACACATATATTATATACGAGGTGATGTTCGCTATTTCATTCTTTTGAAAATTCCTGAAAAATAATCTTGTAGCTATATAAATATGGGTAAAGTAATAACGGTTATACATTCGTGATGGTGTTGGTATCGTCGCTCATCCCTACAGTGATTAACTACTATCCTTTAATAATTGTAAATTTATCGTTAGATACGTTCGATAAATTAATTCATTGTCTTCCAAACGATGTCTAAAGCCTGGTCCACGTGATAGAATATTTTTCCAAATATTTGACAAAGTTAATATGTTTTAGAAATAATTCATGAAAATTGTTATCTGAATTTGTACCCCATTATTATGATTCTAGAAAAGATTAGGTTATTTTAACTCTACTGACAGTGATGTTTATCATGCAACGATTACAAGTATTATAATTATATACCTATAAACATATTTTATATTTTTATTTCTTAATTTTACCAGTCATGAAACCTGAAGAGGAGATTTGGAAGGTTCATAATCTTTCGTAATTTTTAGCAATACGCTTAAAAAGAGGTCATTAAATTGACTGAAACTAATTATTAATATAATCATTAATACAATGAGCCACCGCTCAGTTTGTTAGGTTACTATGACCGAATAGGTTGTAGGCACTTCTTTACTCTACTCTTTTGACTGAATTTTTGACTATAGCCATTGATTACTACATTTAGAATACTTGAATATAATACAATATTTGATATAGTCGGAACTGGGTTTAACAATATTTGGTCAACAAAACGTGATTTTGAATTCGAGCTATTCGACCTATATGTATATACATTTTTATCGCGTTTTAAAAAGTAATTTCTAATCAAAATTAAGTTCCCGGCCACAAAGCCCAGTATTGACATGTTTTCTGAAAAACGTCTTTTGCTCTTTCACAACTACGACGTCATATCCGTTTGTCTCTTTCTATACACTTAACATAATTTTTTAATTTCCTGAAGAATTGTGAAGGCGGGAATTCATGATTGCGATTCGATAATTTTTCTGTTTTCACGTATTATTATTTATGGAAATTGTTTTTTTTTTTTTTTTTTTAATTTTTACTTGAGTAGGTGGTGTCGTCAATGTAGAACTTACCGGCTCGATTTTTTTTACCTGTAGTCGACGGTTGTTACCGTTATAATGAATTCCAGAACTCACTATATCATAACCATTAATAAAATTATGCATTATTTTGTATGTACTGTAAATAATATGATAACAATACAAACATTCACCGTCACTATAATATAACTGTTGGTGCAGCAGAAATCCTTCATGCGAGTTTGCGGAACAACATAAATCACACATATTCATAATATACTTGTAGAATATTATAATTTTCTCGTTTGACTAAACTACTACCAGAGCCGGGGGCGTTGAAATTCGATGATTATTTGAGATTTGTCTGTCTAAATTATAATATTTAATACCTATTATAAAGTAGGTACCTATAATATTTTTTTAACGCTTAACATAAATTGTATTATTCTATCATCACTAGAGCACGGATATTGTAGTAGTAAAAAACTATTGAAATTGATTGCAGTCAAATATACTGAAAATTGCACTAAAAATATTAAAAATTGCACTAAAAACGAACAATTTTTTTATAAAAATGTAAATAATTGGCTTAATTTTTGGCATATTTACAAAACAATAACAGAACACGATTACTCAAAATACACGGAGTAACTGCAGAACAGATTAAACAGTTAAACAGTCACATTTCACAAATTATTTTCGTATTGTATTAAATACCTACCAACTTGGAATTATCAAAATAAAAATATGATTTCATTATTGGATTTTGTGACTGGCAATATTATAGTATAATCTTATTTATACGATTGTCGAATGTTGACTTTAACTAAAATAGTTATGTAAATAAGTAAATTAAACAAAATTGAAATAAAATTCAACAAAATTGCAAAACATTTGAACATATTTACGTATACGTTCAAAACGTATTTAAAACTTACTTAGCAATAAATTGAAAAGGTAGATCTCGTATCAAATATTAGATGGCCATCGTTATATTATATAGGTACCTACAAATTTATTTTGCACGCGATCTTGATGAAAATCGCCAATTGAAACACTTTTATGGTTGGTACCTATACAATGCCCGTGTAGGACGGGAATATTGTTTGCTGTTTTTTTTTTTTTAGTTAATCCTAATAGTCCAAATAGCATTGTGTTGAATGTTAAACGATAGTATGGCAGATAGCATGGCAAACTGCAGCTATTCCAAAAATGGAAATACTCGTGTACTTGATGTTACGTTTCGATAAATCTATTATAGATACTTACATATATACGGTGTTTGTACCCCGTCGCCCGTTAAATACTATGGCTCACAGTAATACTGCATGTATATCATAATATTATTATTGTGGGTATGTATATTAATAAATAATCGCAGTTAAATCAATAGGATGACGAATTCGTAGTGAATACAGATTTTTATTTTTATTTTTGTTTATGCTTTATAACGTTCAGAAGGGTTTACAAAGTTTAGAATTATGTAACATAACAATAAATGTTTAGTTTTGAAACTTTCGTATTAACATTATTTTTGGAAAATTGTTTTTCAAGATGTCAATATAGAGGAAAATATTATCAAACAGGGTAAATCGAATTATTTTATTATTGTTCATATTATAATATTTACGTTTATACACGCGAGAATTTAATATTAGATCAAAAAGTGTTTATACACGTTAATAATATGCACGTCGAATAATAGGGGAGGTTAATATTTTTAAAACAACATCCCAACAACGCGTTTTAAAGGAATGCTTTAAATTTATTTTGCTCAAAATTCAAATCCGCCTATATGTAATATATATACCTATCTGTGTTATGGATATTCTTTTTGATGAAATTTTAATATTTTTTGTAGTAACGATAATTTTATAATATCTCAAAATATATATTATTATTTCATCATCATAAACAATCGACTCGCACATTTTAATACTACTACATATACATACATAATATATGTATAAGAATAAAATCTTTAAACGTATAGCAATGTGAAGATGAAAAATAAAACGGAAATTCTTTTACGGGACGAACCTTTTTTTTTTTTTTTTTTTTTTCATACGTCTGGATATTCTTTTGCACAATATCGCTACAGTGGTAGACAGACACGTTGTAGTGTAAATGGGCGTTGACACGATCGTTCATCTGCATAACGGCCTTATTTGTCAACAGTTTTCATTAACAAAAAAAAAAAAAAAAAAAAAAAAACGTATTTATTTGCATATACTTACAAATTGTCTCTTGTAACCTTCTCAATATCACTCGATTATAATATGTTACAAATGAGGCCCGAGTTTTTTCTTCTCCTCCCTCTCTCTCTCTCTCTCTCTCTTTCTCGAGATATTTTATCAAATAAATTTTACATGAGATGTATGGGCGGTACCCGCAATCGTAATGTCGCACAAAAGACAAATTATTACGTTAGAATAATTATCGAGGATAGTAGTAAGTATATGTAGAGCTATTGTGATAATTTCATTAAGGACATCCGCGAGAGGAGAGAATTAAGTAGTAAAACATTTTTTCTAACTGAAGTAGTGGGGTGGGCGCCAGTAGGGAACTCGGTGTGATTTTAACGAGACGAGAGAATGAATATACTATGAACAAATTAGAACACCACAGTGGATAAAAAAGTTCTTTGGTATACAAAATTTATTTTGTTACTGATACACGAGGGGAAAGAATTGTATATATGAATATGAATAAAACCTTACCCTGTAGTTTTATATAGTAATTACAAACCATAAATTACTTATTTAAATAACTGCTCGTATTATAATTATAATTGTATTACTTCTCGTTTAGTAAATTTAATTTAAATAAGGAATACATTTCTGAAATTAATTTTTAATATTTTCATCAACGACTTGACGTGCACCTTGTACCTATTCTATACATGTATCTAATATTGCGTACTTCAGTAACTCAATCTATCATATTAATTATAAATTGAATTCATCTTATTACTATTAAATAACCGCGAAAGAGATGGAAATAGTATTTAATTTGTGTAGGTTTTATAATATACATACGATTATAATGTTTTGAATTCGTATTCGGTTTTTGAAAATAAGATTATACTCAAGTAGCCCAGTAAGTACCATTACATAAAAAAATTTAAATATTTTATATAGGTACAATTTTGTTGTAATTTTGTAAGATGAACGAATTTAACTCTATGAATAGTCGTATTATTTTAACGGTAGCAAATGTTTAGTGTTCCTGCTGCAGCAGTTGTCAAGAACTGCCGTGAGAATTATTTGATCATTTATAAAATAGTCAGATACAACAAAGTAGAGTATATAGACATACCAACTCTTTTAGGTAAAACATTTGTTTTGTCAACAGCTCGCAACTATTATGTTATACTATAGTGATGCAGTTTATAGGGGGGGGGTTATTCAATTACGCGTAACTACAAAAACTTGTATAGTTAATGATGTTTGTTTTTTGAATTTTTACAGCCCTGAGTGTTGTTATTTGTTAGTTTAATTGATTTCGAAAAAATAATAAATATATCTTTATTATTTTTTTGAAATTATAGTGGTATTAGATTAACTCCTTTTAAGTGTGGACACATCTTTTTTTTTTATTATTTTAGAACATATAGGTTGCCATAATACGTTTTTATTTTTGCTTTTCAAACTGAACACATATAGTTTACTCTCGTGAATTTGTAACATATTCAATTTTAACATAAATTATTAATGTTAACAAAGTAGAATCATTTGAATGTACACTTTATTTAAGTATAGATATTATTTGTATTGGAATCATAACTTTAAATACTGAACATATAGATTAATAATCCTATACCGATTAACTTTTATTGTATAAGTAATACAATATACATTATCCATGTAATATAAAATTTAATATAGACAATAAATAATATAGAGATTAGAAATTCAACGATATTTAAAAAAAAGAGAGAAATGCCCCTTTATACGTTCGTAATAGTTGAAATATATAAATATTTAATTAAGTCAAAATAAAATTAGGAAGTGAACCGACGTTATTTTTGTATTAAAAATGTAAATTACTATACACTATCGTGAAAACCGCATAGTTGTAAAAACAATTAGGTATATGTTGAAGTTTTCAACGAAAAACCTTAATCGAGTGCTTTTAAAAAATTGATTTTCTATTTTTAACGACAGAAATAAGATACTGTTTTTCTTTTTTTTTATTTAATTTGAATACAGTTTCTTTGTTTTTGCCGTGTTGTTAATATATAAGCTCACAAAAAAAAAAATGATATATATATATAATTTTTGTTTTAACGTTTTCATTATTTTATTTTCAATTACTTTGCTAAAATTATTTCGTATTATTTATTTTTCTTTTAGTTCAATTTATAAAATGTTTCATTTAATGCTCTACGCTTATTTTGTCGGGCAATTTTATGATTTTTTTTTGTCAACTGAAATTGTTACTTTCAGTAAGATTATTATCTTACTGATTTATTTAAACGACCACTCTTACTACATTCTAATTTCACACTGTGGGGTAAGTTTAAATGTCAAGTTTAAATAAAATGTGTTCAGAAAGACGGGGAAATAATTATTTTCAACAACATTCTATTATGCATTGTCCTATTTATTATAATAAATAATTAATTTATAAGTTAAATAATCGCCGTTATAATATGGATAAATATTAAATCAATTCTTACGATTTGTTTAGATTCAATATCTACTTATAAAATTAATGTAACCAAAAAAATCACAGCTACATAAAATATCTAAAATAAAATGTATTTCAAGAAGAAATATTTGTTATATTTAATAGTAATAATAAAAACTAAAACGCTTATTGAAAATGTTGAATACCTATAGGTACATAATAACTTTACGTTAGGAAACTTCATTCTTAATTTTAATACGTTTGTATTACATGTCCGATTTTAAAAATCGACACTTATCCGAGAATGATTCACGAGTTCATGATTATTTCGCTGAGATGTGTTTATGTATTAAACGATATCACAATATAAAGTTAATCGGCGTTCACTTCAATCAAATCTTGAACAAAACCTGTAAAAAATGGTGGGGACATTTAAAACACCTACTTGCAAAAATCAAAATTTTAAAATTTTAAAAAATTAAACATTAAAATGTTCAAATTTCAACTAATTATGAAATTAATAATTCTGATCTTAAATTAATGGTTTGCAACATTTTCGTACCTAAATTCTTTAAATGCAAAAATGTTGCAAAATAACACATCGATCTATTCAAATTTGAATTGCATATTTATTCGTTGTAGTCTGCCATAATAACGCTATTTAAGTATGTAGCATTTAGAAAATGTATAATATTTTAGTATAATTTAATATTGTTTTATTAATTAAGTAATTATGCGAAAATTATTAAAATAGCTTTTATTTTTATATCTCATTATTTTCGAATTTTTGACGATACAAAGAATAAATTTATTTTTAATGATTTCGTAAATAATTTACTTAAAATGGTGTTATTATTATTTGTACAATTTTTATGGTTTTTTCATGTTTTTTTTTATTGATTATATTATTAATAATTTTCGTTTAGGGCCATTGGGCAACTCGTTGATTGCTACGCTGTATAATAAAATGATAATATTTTATATATAAATTGAAGTTAATGGACTTTCAGTGATGAAATAATATTGAAAATGATGTATTTGCATCGAGGTTTGTAAAAAAAATCAATCGTCAAATAGATTATAATACTGATGTTATCGATTAGATACGCAAAATGATTGTGCGGGGGTGTAAAGTTTCAAGTTGTTTGCTCTCAAATATACAAATATAAAATGTCTCCTTAAACATATTTGTCGTTCCTACTTCAATTATTATATTATTATAATATAATCATAAATACAACTAATAATATAGGGGTGAACGGTGCATACCAAAGTTACTTTATCCCCCTAGCCATTTAGATTATTTTGAGGATTAATTATTACTATTTATTATTTATTTATTATTTTTAAAATTATTACCTTCTACAAGAGTAAAACAATATTAACTATAATATAATCTTGGGTAATATTATAACAAAACTCATATCTGTTTTGCATTGAACTTCTTTAGTATCGGCAGTGGACGTAGAATCTGAAGAACGAATGTATTATTTATTTATTTAATTTATATTTTAAAAATGACCAATACCACAAAGCAATTTGTTAAGGTTGTTCTAAGCATTTTAAGATTAACCATGATATTGAATGTTTTTTTCTGCTACAGTATTGCTTCTTATATTTCTTTCTTATTTCTTATTATCTTATACATGAGTATGAAATTATTTATTTATTTAAAATATTTATAATTTATAACTTGAAATTATATAATAGTAACTTAAATGAGAATTGTTTTTGGTTATAAAGATTTAAAATAAAAATATAAAATATTGATTTTTTGTCAAGTGAAACGAGACGAATTTACAATGCCCAAAACAAGTACATACATATTCTATGTCATATAATTGTATATACAACCTTTATTATTTTATTTTTTAAATGGTTTTTAATCTTATAAATCTCGTATATATTTCAAGTATTTATTATTTTAATTCATAATAATATTCGCGTTTTTCTAAATTTGTTTTTTATCCGATGATATTCGTTAATAATTTTTCTTATAACTAATACTAGGTTTACGATCAGATCATTCTAGTAAAATATTTGATGTATATATAGGTATATTAAAAAATGTACAATAATGACGTTATTATTGTTTGATAATAAAAAATTATGTTGGCATTTATTTAACACGTATACATTAATTAACTATATAGCCGACTCAATAGGCAATAAATAAATCTGCAACTTGTCAGCTATATACTAAGAGGATAAATTGTGTAGATTAACTCATGAAATATTTATTTATAGTATGCATTCTGTGATAATGAATATAATAAGACAAATATTTTAAATTGATCACACGTTGTTTCTATTGTATCGTCATGATATATCGTGATATATACAAATAATATTTTATGGGTTATTAACCCGTGAAATAATATTGTATTAATTAATAAAATATTTGTTATCTGACAACTTAATACCTATTAATATTGGAACTGTATTATACGTATGTAATCAGTTATCTATAGTGTTTTGTATGGGTATATATAAAATTTAAAACTATTTCGAATATTACCTACCTATATGTCTTATATTTTCAACGTCTCTAACTTTCATATAGATCAGGGATGGGCAACTGGAGGCCCGCGAGCTTTTTTTTATCTAGCCTGTGCTACATTTTCATACTACATCATACAATTTTTAATTTTATCTTCTGTAGTCTATAGCAGCGGTTCCCAATCTTTTTAGTTTTGCGGACCACTAATTTTGTAAAAAAATATTTGAGGCCCACTCGTAGCATACCTATATACGTTTTCATAAAATTATAATATAATTATTATATATATAATAGTTATTGGGAATAAAAGATTAAACAAAATAAAAAAAAAAAAAAAACAATTGTTTATTAAAAAAAAAACTTAATTCAACTTTATCACGAGATATAAGATAAACAATTTAATGTGTATTTTGACATTGCTTGTTCTTCACGATAGACTCTTTACTATAGACTCTATACTGTATACTGTATAGTCAAAAGTGTGTAAGTTCATTTATAAATCACATTGTTCGTATGCTACCTTACTGAAATAATAATTGTTTTTGGTATTGGACATCGTTAAATGTCTATTTATAGTTTATATCGTATATCTTTTAGCCATAGCTATTTGTACCTACCTATTTAATTATATTTATTATTATTGTTTCTTTGTATTATTCCTGTCATGCTGTCGTTGAATTTATTATTTTCGTGTTTTGCAGTGCTTGATAATGTTTGCAAAAAAGCGTAAAATTTGGTGACAAAAATAGAACTTTTAACACCTCGTGGGAGAATTACTATTTATTTATTATTAACGAACAAAAAAAACCTTAATGTTTAGTTTGTTTAATCGTTATTGCGGTGTTAAAAGAATATAATTTAAAAAAAAAACATTGCATAACAAATCATTTTTCCAAATATGAAAAATACATTGGTGATGCAAGAGAGTGTTGTAATTGATCTTAAAATAAAACAAGAAAATGTGATGCCAAAAGCAACAACTTCACAAAAATCAAATTTATTGACTTCATATAATATTATTTCTAACGAAATAGCAAAATCTAAAAAATCGTTGAGTGATGGAGAATTTGTTAAAAATAAATAGCTAAACCAACAAATGAAAACAAAATTTCCATTAATTTGAAAAAATATCACTTTCAAGACGCACAGTAACACGTCGTATAGCTGACACTGATAGTGTCATTCGTAAAACATTGCAAACTATAATGACGGATTGCACTGGACGAAAGCACAGATGTTTCAGAAGTAAATTAACTTTTGTTATTTGTTAGAATTATATCTTCACAATTTGAAGTGTATGAAGAGCTATTCAAATTATGTTGCTTACATAAAACCACCAAAGGAAGTGATATATTTAATGCAATAAAAAACGCAATTGAACCATTTGGTGGATTTAAAAAATGTCATCGGTTGTGGCAGATGGTGCCAAAGTCATGGTTAGTAAAAATATCTGTTTTGTTGGATTATTACGCAAATCTAACGTTAATGTTCCTGCTATACATTTTATTATTCATCGGGAAGCGTTGTGTGGCAAAGTAATGAAGCTTGACATACTAGACTACATGCTATGAATACTGTATTTAAAATTACTAATTTCATAAGTGGATGCTATATTATATATAATAATAACTAATAACGTTCAATATTTATCGCCGCGATAATAGGCAGTATTATCGATTAATGGCAAACAAAATCCTTATTAATAAAATATTATAATGGAACGTGTGCCAGTTTTTCTTTCTTTTCTTTTTTTCTGTTCTTGATGGTTTCAATGATAAATGTTTTCGTATGTATACTTTTTTTCTTTGAGGACTATTATTCATTTCTCTCTCCTGTATACCTATACAACCGTTTCATATTACCTTTTTCCGCGCGCCCAAAAACGTCCAATTTTTCTTATCTCGTTTTTGAAAATATTCCATCCCCGACGCGAAACACGCAACTTTTTGAGCAAATGATTTTCAATTTAAATTTATACACTTGACCTTTTTTTTCTGTTCGCGGTAAACACATAAATATTATTTTTATTTCCCAGTGGTACCTATACATCGGTATAATATATCATATACGAATGGTATATGTGTACAAATTATTGTAACATCGAATATTTTCGTTTTTATTTGCAAAGAAAAGGTGTGCATTTTAAACACCGCTGCCACAGTTTCTACAATTTAAACCTACCCGTATCGTTATTAAACCCACAACTATTGTTTCAATATTATTATAATAATGCGTCGGGTATTGAATTAATCGGTTTAGTTTTCGGATGGTATTATACTCGCTTGTTTTCGATCGAAAACCATTCGAGAACAGTAATGTATAGATATAGGTATAATAATTGACTTTTACCCGTGTTCTCAAAACAAATTTTGACTATTACACCGGCGTCGGTGGCAAACGTATTCCTTCCGAACCATCATAATGGAGTGCGCTACATCTATAATATATGCGTATACAAACGGATAATATGTATCCCGCTGCAATTATATGACTTACGGAGGATTATTATGTTCTACGTCGACGGCCGATCATTATCCGGTCAAAATCATTTAATTCGACTTAGTAAAACGGTATAATGTACAAATATATAGAAATCTAAGAGACATTTTATTTCCATCAACAATGGATTAAGCAAATTAATACGTATATCTGCATATTTCATAGCGGATAATAATAAGACATGGATAGCCTCTCAGTTGTAATGAGTAGGATGAGTAGGTATGTATTATAATAATTTGATAAAAAGAAAACCATATTGGGCTCAACGCAAGAGATGAGAGTAGTGATGTTTTTATATGTATGATGAGCATACGTACTGAGTACACAAATGTACCGTTTGTGTATTAAAAATAAAGACATTTCGTCATCGAAGCTTTATAAAAGATAATACTGATGGTATTTGTTATTATTTTTGTATACTGCATTAAAAAAAGATGCACACAAGTTTTTTTTTGCGAACATGTCATCTACAGCGGTATAGGTGATCCTTACCTTTTCCGGTTAGGTCAGGAAACTAAATTGTCGTTTGACACAATACTTTTCACACTTCAGTCACGGCGACGTTTACCGCAGGGATAGAGTCTTTTGTCTCGCGATCCCCTCATCGTAATTAACCCCTATACCAGCATACTAATAAATGTCACGCTATAAAATATGTATTATATTATTATAATGTTATGTAACTTCCTTTTTCTGGTTCTCAAACGACCGTCACCGATACCCGCGATTATACCACTGGTTGTCTTCCGCACCGAAAACACAGGGGTGTTGCGTCAATTGTTCCGCAAGTAAATCATCAGTACCATTACCGGATGACGATCGAAATCGTCTAGAAATTCCACAGGTTAATCGCCGTACATCGTAATTGTAATGTAAATTAATAATAATAATAATAAAAAAAAAAATACTAATAATAAATGTTCCTTAACGTAACTTTTTAAATCAAATTATATATTGGATTTAGTTTTAGAATTTGAACGTAAGGAGAAAATAATCAATGTTATTGATTTTGTGTGTCGATAAGTATTAATTAATTAATCGATTCGTCGGCTTAGAATCGTAAGAACTTATTAACCAAATGAAACTTTTAAATTGTAAATTGAACATTTCTACTAAATTGTTTAGTAAACAAAAAAAAATAAAATAAAATAGATATATATGAATTACAAATATCGTTTTTGGTTGATCCGTTCTGCTGATTCTAACCGACGATATGTTGATATATTAGTTAAGATAAATGGAAAGATCAAATAATTTCACAATTTTCGATTTTTCAATAAATAAAGAGATCTTATTTAGAAATTTTCCTGTTATCCAAAATATTACTCAAGTATATTTTATAACTATTTAATTAATTTAATTGATTGATAACATAGAATTAATTTAGATGGATAAACTGCGCATTGAATTGTTTTAGATACATCCGCACTGTTGTTATTTGTTGTTCATTAAAGTTTGTGTTATAGTTTATTGTCTACTGCAGCAGTACTAAAAAGAATAATTTTGCTAGAGTACAGTTGGTAAAAATATAAATAATATATCTACCGTTTTGTGATAAGAAAAGAAAAAAACTTTAATATTAATTATAATATAATATAGGTTCTCAATTATTTATTGGCTCACATTATTTACTATAATAACGCATTAAAAACGCTCGAGTTTATTAATTATAAACTACGATTATTTTTTACTATGATATTGATTGAAGACTGCAGTTTTAGATTTAGATGTTTCATAGAATAATAATTATAATATAAAAAAGGCCTCCCTCAAAAGATGTAGTCATTCATTATTCACTCTCATATCAGGTTTACGACTGAAGATTTTTTTGATTAATATTGGTCTTGTGTAAATTTCAAGAAATCAAAAAACTATCGTCTATACCGTCTTATACACAAAATTGGCAGTGATTGTTCACGAATTTTTACCTATCTTAAAATGACAAACTATTTTTCACCATTTAAATCACCTAAACTAATTATCACGATGATACTTGGACGGTAAAAAGTAACATACATTATTTATAGAAATTATAAAATATCATATTTTAACATTTTTTTCTTTCCATTCTGTTTCTATATTATTCGCATATACGACCCTACGTTATTATCCTTGCAGCCGTCGCCTGTGTATCCGTCGTCGTGACTTTCATTTCAACGTATCGACCTAGTCAATTTCATATGATTATAATGTTATTTGGTGATATTATTGTTTCGTTTATTGTTCCAATGAAATCTTTAATCATTAAATTATTTTTATGTGTATTATTTTATCGACGCACTAAAAAATAATGAAATCTTGAGCTGTTAGAATATTACACTTTTATCATACCTATAAAATCTCAATAATGTAGCAGTCCATAATATTTCAGCAGATTTTTGTTATTAGATTGCCGTTTAAGCATTGCCAATTTTTTACTAGTTATATTAAAAATTCAAATTTTTGAATAACTAAGCCAAATAAAATTAAACGTTAAGTATCTTGAATTTTTATATTTCACGACTATGAAACTCGATACTATCGTATAAGTTCGTAAAATGGAATCTGATTTTTCTTACGTAATTTTTTTTTTTTAAACCACATGACTTAATTGTAAATTTTATGAAAAAATAATATTATTTATTGATTATTTTTTTTTGCAGATAGATCAGTAGATACCTTCAGCAAATTGGTATTTGTATCATTTAAATTTATTCTGAGTGTTACTGCTGGGTAGCTTCTCTCCTCCCCCCATATAATTATAATATATCTGAATGCTCATATGCTTATTGTAAATATCATTACGGATTGTATATATTATTAATAAACGTTAAAAAAAAAAAATTTTAATTTATTCTTATAAGCTCATTTGTTCATATTTTTATATAAGTATAGAGTATACCTAAAATATTTTTATTTCCTAAGCTATACCTACACAATTTTGCTCTGTTGAATTTTGAGTATAAATACAAAGACACTATTAAGTTTCTTGAAAATAAAGAAAATGTATTTAATATCGAAAGTATTGTGTAACGCAAGTTTCTTTGACCTACGATAATTTTGTATACATACTGGTAATTTTAAGGGGGAACTAAATACGCAATGTATTCAACATTTTGAGTGAATATAATGAAAGTATAGAGTGGAGTTGGCAAGGTAAAATAAATAACACTCAAGATAATAGTAATTATTAATCAGTAGGTATACGTAGGTATATATGAGCTTAAAAGGAGGTATTGTCAAAATTGCTGTTTCTGATTTGTTTGTATAACTATTATTCAAACCGTAGTCGTCGTGATAAAATTATGTGTGTGTGTGTGTGTGTGTGTGTGTCTGATTTGCCGAATGCAATTATATCGCGGAAACGAAACTCGCGGTGTCCACATTACGTGATTATGACACGCTCGGGGCAAATTATTATTTTTATTTATTACTGACATACGCCTAACCTTCACGTTATGATGTAGAATTTAATAGCAACATTGTTTTTTTTTTTTAAATTTTGATCACACGTCCGAGAACGTATATAAATACAAATTATATTATTTTAAGGTGGACCTGTATAAATGAAATGCATAGATAGCTATTGTCAGGTCGTTCCGCATTTAGAATTCTACACTTTAATGGCTCAATTTTATCGTTACAGAGCTATATATTTTGCAGCACTCCTTATTATGAAAAATAACATTTTGGTAATCATTTTTCAAAGGTCAATCATCAATCCATCAATCCATATAATCATTTTGATTTACTTTTATCTAATAATGAACATATATGTCTAATAAGAGGATGTCAGGGCCAGATACTTTTAAAAACTTGTGTAAAAAAATTAAATCTGAAAAAAATATCTGTGAGAGGACGATGAATCATCCATATCATCCTATGTAAATACGCCACTGCTGTTTAGAATATATATTATTCTCTGATCATATTTTTATCAATTTTCACCCAAAAACCGCATTATTAATAATAATAACAATAATAATAATTATAATAAAAAAAAAAAAAAAAAAAAAAATAATTTTATGTCAAATCATTAAAGTATAGATTCGAAAGCCGATGAATTCGTTTGATGATTTATTTTTCCGTTTAATCCTTGCAATTATTTTTCATTAAAATATTAGTAAAGACATAATACAATTTGAGATGCCGGTATATCTGTTTCGAATAAAAAAATAGAATGTATAGGAGTATACCCAAGATTTATCAATGAGTGGGGGGGTCTAGGGGGTTAGGGGTTTACAAACTTTTTAACTTTATCAGTATAGTTAAAAAAAGTATTATGGATTTACATTCAAAACCTCCCACAATTTGTGCCACTGAAAATATGAGAAGAATGAAAACTATATTTAAAATACTATAAACGATACACAAATTATTTTTGAAAATGTATTAAATTGACATAGATTTGGGTAATACAATTTATCTATACGTTGCATTAAATAATAATGATAGATTGAATTTCATAATAATAAAAAAATTGAGAGCACAAAAATTATTAATTCGCAAGATGAATGATATATTACTATTATATCGTATAATTTATAATCAAGACAATTATTATTATATTAACGTTGAATTAGTAACAATTTTATAAATTATAGAGCACAATACACGTGCTGCACATTTTAAACATTATTCATTTTCCAAGATTTTAATAAATATGTATTGTATATAATACTATGCGGTTAAAAAAAAAAACTTGATTTACATTTTTATTACTAATAATATACATATATATATATATATATATTTTTTTTTATATAATTTCGAGTATGTAAATTGTACTGCAGAAACCCGTGTCTCTGTCGTGCCGCTGTTATACACGCGGCGTTTTTAAAATTTGCATAACCTTTAAACTGGTTTTTAATGTTAAATTAAATGTAAACATTAAAATATAATGCACGAAATGTGATGTAAATATCACCGGGGTCATCGAAATGCGGTGATAGAAAATAATAATAATAATAAAAAAAAAGTGGTTCGTTTAATATTGTTTTGTTGTCGCAATTTCGCAAGTTTGCCATTTAATACGAACAAATGTGTTAATATTAAGGTGACATTTTAAAATAATAATTATAAAAAAATACCCTTATCTGGTCAATATTTAGAGTGAATCATACTTAAATTTAAATATTAATATAAATTATATTTGTGTGTCAAAATGACACACCCATATCTATTGCCTGTGTCAAACAGGCGATCGCGGCATAGCAAAATTGCGTTACGGAGAATATATCCAAATCGTGGCGTTTTAGGTTGAAAATAGAGTTTAAATGCAGATAACAAAATTTAAAGATGAGTATATATTGGAAACACAGCATCGCATACTACTTTCAAAAATATTCCCATTTTTAAATGTTGTTATCCGTGTTTAAACTCTATATATATATTACTATTTGTTATAAACCTAAGCGCTAACATTTTTATCTTTTACGTAATGCAATTTCTCTTTATAAATTTAATTTTTATCACTCCCACTTTTCTATTTTAAAATAATAATTTTTGTAAAACAAATTATACAATTAGTATACCTATATCATTAATATTTTTGATAATTTTATATTGCTTGATATATTATCGATACAAATAATTAAAATATAATAGGTATACATCATGTTATCACTGATTAGGAATACATTATACCTATTTTTAATTTGAGTATTGAAATTAGTTTTGTAACTTATCATGGGGGATCATTTTTTGAGGGCTTTATGTGCGCGTCTGTCGGCTGGTTCAATAAACACATTGGGTAATAATAAATAATACATGAAAACATTCGAATACGCCTGGAATATTTTACTACCGGGGATAAATTTCCGCCCAACTCTCTCCCCTACCTAGTCTATTTCCGGCAATGAACTACAGGTACTACCTATAGGCAGTAAATACGGGTGTAATGTCGACGTCACATCGGCTAAAAAATTATTTAATACATATTAATTGTGGTGTACGCAGTAGTATAAAATAAACAAGATAATAATATTATGACCAGTCTACCGTATAATATACGTAGGTGGTATATTAAAATTCGACACAAGATATTTTTGTTTTATTCTTTTAAATTACACATTGTGAGATCAAAATTATAATAATATTATTACCTATGTATGGAGGTGGGTATCAAATGACGGGCGTTTGGAAACCAGGAACCGGAAGGTACGTTCCGTGTAATTATTGTGGGTGGGCACCAGGGCCGTAAGATGAAATGAGGGAGAGGGGTTAGTCACAAAAATGCACAATATACATATAGTCATAATATAATACACAAATAAAACAACAATTTTACATGATCTATAATATATATTATTTTGTACAACATATAATAATAAATTAAAGGTGATAAAGAATAAGGGAATAATAACTGAAATATTTTTTTTTTTTTTGAAATTGATATTATTTCATAAATCCACGTATTTTGACGTACTACAGATGAATACAAAATCTTATAATATATATTTAAGGAGATATTCAATTAATAAAAGTGTTGTATTACATATAAATTGTGGGTTTTGTTTGTAGACAAAGGTGTTGTAGTAAATTGTTCGGTTCAAGTCGCTCTTTTGAACATGTTTTTAAATATTTAGTTTATATCTTTATTCATATTTAATATTATTATTAATATTTATTATACTCATGTGAGGTTTGAATTTCTATTGTTTTTGTGACACACACAATGTTTATTAGCCAAATCGAAAAATTACTTTCTTTATAATAATAAAAAAGGTTTCCAAATCTAAGTAAGGTACCTGAATTTCTGATATCTATAAAATTACATCAACATTATTTCTTTTTTCTAATAGATATTTATTTCCTGAATCGTAAAACAATTAAATCTGAAATCTAAAATCTAAAATCTAAAAATAAAACCAAATATTGAATATTTTTGCATATTTATATAATACATTTTAGTAGATATACAATATGTAAATATAGTTTAGGTACTGTTTTTAAGTACATACCTACAGTTTCAAGCCTCGATAATATTGTATATTCATGCGACGGCGACGACCCCAGCTTAGTTGCAGAGAATATTAATAATAAGACGACCTTTTCCATCATTTGCTACGCTTACATAATTTGTCATTTTCACTACCTATAAATTGTTCGTTATATATTTCTTGAGCGTTTATTTTTATTCACTTAAATAATGCAAAACTAACAATTAACACAATATAAAAATGATAATTTACGTTAGAAAAACACTTCTATTAAAATGCGTTGTTTTATGGGGTTAGTGTTAGCTGTTTTATGAAATTTGAATTTACTTAAAATATAATACATACCATTTTAATCTTGCAAATTTAAAAATATCAAACATTACTTAAAAATGGTAATTTTGAATATTATATACATATTATATTATTCTTTAGATTCTAGGTCATTGAAACATTTTTATTTTAATCATTTTTTGTGCAGTTTTAGGTACCTAATTAATGCATTATTTTTTGCCATTTATGATGGTGCTCTTTTAGGTCATCAACATCATATGTTTAATTATAATTCTTGTTAAAAACGCTTTTTTCAAGAACAACTCGTCTCATACATATATTTGATAAATTTCAATTTTTATTTTCTGTTTGCGTATATCTCCGTATTATCAGTATAATTTATAAATACAATTTATAGATAAAACTATTCATTAGTAACCGATGGCGATGAGCTTATAAATGAATGTAGAATTATTAACGGATTTCATAAAACCACATATAATATAATAATATATATAATAATAAGACAACAGCAGCTGTCTATGACAGATAATATACACAATATTTTAATGATTTGCGTGATGATTAAAGTTGATTTACATCAGCATCACTAACATGTGATTAGGTTCATTGGTGGTCGTTGGCTGTAGGTGTCTTTTATTTAAATATTTACTATTGTAATCAGTTACCTATTATACGTACGTAGGAAAACTAAATTTTAATGTAATATTATTCGCTAGAAGATCACCGATTAAAAAATAATAATAATTAAAATAAAGTTGCTCTATCAAAAGCATTACATATAATGATCACGAAATATAATTTTTTTAAATTTTAACCAAAATTTAAATTTTATTACAATCGTCGTTTATAATAATACTGCTTGAATTAATTGGTATTGTAATTATTTTTCCAAAATTCAGCTCACTTGCTCTATAGCCAACTAGCATCACTGTATTTTAAAACCGTTAAGTACTTATATTGATTTTCGTGACACGAAATTGTTCAATACAGAAAGCCGATTGATAAAAAAGCAGTGACTGATCAACCGTAATAATTACCTATCTGTATTGTGTCATAGATAAGTCAACTATATAAAGAAGAAAAAAGAAAAAGTAAATAAATTCCATCTCCGAGTATCGTGCTATCCTTGATTTTCAACGGCCGTCCCTATTTTATTATATTAGCGAATCAAACTATTTGTTTATAAAATTGTCTTCCCATTTTCACATTGGTGTATATTGTGTATTGGTACCCTTTTTATCGGATTGCAAGAAATAAGATAATATTATAGATTTTGTGTGCGACGAGGAATATATTGGCTCTATCCCTTGTTTTACTATGATGTGTTTTTTTTTATGTCTGTAATCTTTAAAAAACTTGTCTGTCAGAAATCTTGTTTCAATCAAAAACTTTGTGATAACTTTCTTGTAGAATATTAAATCTAGTTGAGTACATTAAGATGTTAATTTTTTTATTTTCCTTATAGTTTTATTAATAAATAGGATACACTGGTAATTTTTTACATAATTTTTGTTTATTTCTGGATTACATTGGTGACAAGGAAAACATACGACTAATAATACCCGACTCAGAATCGTTTTTTGTCATAAACGATTAATGTTGCATACATTCATCAATTAAATTACTCTACATGTGTCCTCCCTTCTAACCCCCTCCATAAAATAATGGCATACTTATCAGCAGTACCAATCTTACAGATTTTGATCTTAACGAGGAATGTATTTTTTTTTAAATTAATTATAATTTTATATAACATATGTATATTTGCATAGGTATGTGAGCTATATTATTGATATAACCGTCACCCTCAGAACGAAAATGAGCTGAATTTGTATCAAATAATAATTCCTAACAGTGTACTAATATATCATTATTGTAATGACACTGAATAATATTTAAAAAAAAAAAAAAAAAAATTAAAAAAAAATGTTATTATAATATACCTACATACTCATTAATTNAATTTGTATCAAATAATAATTCCTAACAGTGTACTAATATATCATTATTGTAATGACACTGAATAATATTTAAAAAAAAAAAAAAAAAAAAACTCGTTTCAAATATAATATTATTTACATGATATATCGACTAAAGATTAAAATTCACATGTGGCATACACCGCGAATAACAACTCAACCGAATAATCTCCTTGGTCGTACTAGCCGGTAGAAACACGAAGATTAAGGACTGATAAATAATATTTTGTCAAAGTTAAAACTAAAAAAATATGAGTAAAACGATGAATAATAAAATCTGATTACGATAGAAGTTTGTAAAACTAAACAATATTGCGTAAATTAAAAAAAAAAAAAAATTAAAAAAAAATGTTATTATAATATACCTACATACTCATTAATTACGTGGTTCAACCGTCTTACGGAACTACTATCATGATTTGATATTTTCGTATATTCACGGTGGGGTTGTTTCATTAAAAATATGTCGTAAAATATTTTATCAACGACTAACGAGAATGACGCAATATATTTATTCAGCTAACCAAAAAATACGATGGCCGTAATACTCTATTTGGACAAAATTTAAATTATCGAATACTCAAGTAAACAAATTAACATTGATGCTGTGCGGAAAACCGAAAGTTTAAAATTAATTTCCTTGTTTACACAACCATTCATGGTTATGACCAGGATTTCTTAATCATGCTCGCCTATATTTTGTATGCTTCAGCTTGTTTCAACAATGGATATATTCGAAACATATATTTTTTTTTTTAGAAAATGAATGTGAGTTCACCAGAAAAGACGATATATTTTTCAGCTCTATAAATAGTTACAGTAATTAGAATAATATAGTTTGGTTAAGAGTAAACCGTATATTCTACAATTCCAAATTAATTTTTTTCCAATCTTGTAAGTGCAGATTGCTATGTCGCCCTGATGGATATCTTTTTTATGCGGTTCGGAATGTTTGAAAAACTACTGTATTTCACTTAAATCCTGTGACTCGTATGATATTATTCGAATGAGGTATAGGTAGTGACGTAACGTTCGGGTAGTTTTAGTCGTAGGCAAATACTGCAGATCGAATACAATTTTCACCACTATGTACCCGGGTTATGTAGGTTAGGATATATAGAGTTATATAGGTTAGGATGAGTAGCTTTCAACCACAGTCATATCATTGGTTTTATAATAATATTATACGGTATAAATAAATATATATATATATTATATATACGAATGAAATATTACAAAACCAATAATGTGGTTTTTACCAAAAACGTGTTTTTCTTTTGCTATTTCTACAATTTTTACTTGAACATATATTTTTCTTCTTTTGAATTTATTTATAAATCATGTATAAATGTATGTATTTTATTTTTTAAAGAAAATATTTGCGTATGACTCGGAAAACTTTCTACAAAATGTTAAGGCATAGCGTAGGTATACATAGTATGTACTTACTGTACAAAGCAACTTTAATGGTGAACCTGTCAACTAATCTAAATAGTTATGTATATAATAATACATACCATATAGGTATCTAATACATGCATGAAAAACTGCATTTATTTCTAAATAAAATAGCAAAATCGTTGAAGCGTGTAGCATTTTTTTTTCGAATTCATTTAACAGTCTCATTTTTATAATAACAATAATATAGGTGTAATATTGAAAGTTTTTTAAAAAAAAGTATCAATGTTTAACTCTTTTAAGTAAAATTAATGGTTGGTGTATACGTATCTATTATTGCAATATTATATGACATTCTTAAAAGTCTTTCGATTTTATAGCAACGGCTTAACCTAGCCTATAACCAGTGTTGTATAAAAATAAATGCTAAATAGTTATGTCAGATAAAAATAAGAGATCATTATCCAGGTGAAAAAAAAAGATTTATACAAATTCAATTTCCTAGTTAAATAATAGTGAATTTCTTATCAAAAAACTAAATAATATAAATATAATAATAAAAGAGTACAGGATTTAATACACATCTAGATTTCATAAAGGCCGTGTGATAGATGTAACTGAATAATTTATTGATGTAACCATATTAATATAAATTAATACATATTTTAACTATTATTTCCAATAAATATATAAATTTCGGTTTAAAACAATTTATCTAGATAAATTTGTTTGTACGATTCAATTACTTTCCTTAGATAACTTATTTTTCAATCAGTTTAGATTGATGGACTTAAAGATAATTATCTTGATAAAACATGATACTGATTGCAATTTAGTCAATAAAAAAAAAAAAAAAACTTATCCGAGATAATATTAGCAATCACAATTCGCATTATTTAACTATACACAATCGTCAACCGTGTCCGTCTAAACTGCATTAAATAATATTGGTTGTATAGTATTAGTTGAGCGACGAACTGCTAAATTAAAGAAAATTAAGAAATAAAGCAATTTCTCTTTCCTGTAGAACCAAAACGAAACCCAGTTAGCAGGGTAGTATTGATTTTAGACTAACACACGACCTGAGTAAATCAAACCGTACTTTTTCATTATACAGAGTGTCACCATTTAAGGATTCGGTCGTAATTATAGTAATTTCATGTTAATTAAAATAAATCGTAATTATTTTCGAACAATTTATATTATAATGGATACTTATAATAATATTTTAGATTTCAAGTTAAGTGCGAGACACGTTATATAGTTTGATTATGGGTTTTTTTTCATTGAAAAATAATCATAGAGATCTGAAAATCATGCTCACTTGATACTTATATAATTATTATTAGTTATTTCTAGACGTGGAACAATTTTTAAAATATTCAGGTAGTTTTTTTTTTAATTATTAAATTTTATTATATTATATTTTATTTTATTATTATTATTATTTATATATTTATTTGACATTTTTATGTTTATTGAATAAGTATTATTTGATTTTGTGTGGATCGAATTTATTTGGCTTGTTTTTATATATGCTCGAAAATTTAATATAGGGTTTTTCATCAATTGTTCTTCTATGGTAATATAAGAATATTGAAAAAATAAATTAAAAATTCACTTTTTTCTTCTTTATATTATAATTGTTTTGAATATCAACTTTTTGACGAAGATCGTAAAAACTACAAACATTTTGTATATCATTTTTCCATTATAAATAATATGAGTAGAACTTGTTTAGTTCCAAAAAAATATTAAAAAAATTGATCTAAAGTTCATCATAAGTTGTACACAGTGGTAATAAAAAAGTTTAGTGTAATATTTTAATTTATTTAATACGTGTATTTTAAGTTCAATTGTATGTTAAAATTTATTAAAAATACGAACAGTTGCAATTAAATTTTGCAGTTATTTATATAATTTCCAATTAAAATGTATCAAAAAATGATTTACCGAATTTTGCTCTGATGCTCAGGATTGGCATATATATTATTTGTTTATATTGATTTTTTTAAATGTTAACATTATAATATAGTTTTACATTCTACCAATCGAAACAAATTTAAAAAATATCATAACTCAGGTGAAATGTGGGTAACGCTAGTGTTATAGTATACATATAGGTTATTAAAAACCAAAGTTCTTGAAGAAGTTTGAGTTAATTATGTAAAAATCAAATTTAAACTTTAACCTAGACATAAAAATTACATCAAAAATATCTTAATATACTGAAACGATTTAATTAATGAATTAATTATTTCAAGTAATTGCATATTATACGCGTCATCACAATATTATAGAATAAACTGAAAAAGTTTTTAATTTTTATAACTGACAAGTTTGAAGTTTTGAATTCACTATAAATGTCGATATCAATTTGCTAATTGTCATCAAATCATTTTTGTTTTTAATTAAATTAAAAGGATTTAAAGTTTAATATATATATATATATATATATAAAAAGATGAGCAGCGTACTGAGTATTTTAAACTGTTAGAAAATCTGTGTAAAATGGAAATTCGAAGATTAAATTCCATATGCATTTGTATAAACTTCTGTAATTCGGAAATGTCAGTCAATAGACATTTTCTTCGGTTCTTCGGTGCTCCGTTTTAGACAATGTTCTGTACTGTATATACGAGTGTTTATTGTTATATTGGCGTTTTGGACTTGTCAACAATACAGCTTATTGTGAAACGATTTGGTTTATATTGCGATCGGTGGGTATATTATCCCCCGAGAAGGTCGGGGTAATACAGTTGAAATGCTCAACAACACGTCCGGTGGGAATTTCAGAATCGACTGCAGAAGGTTTGCCAATATAGTAATAATACTTAGTCGCGTGTTATAAGTACTGTACACTCTCTATAGTCTATACTACAAAAAACTTCATTCCAGAATCCAGACATATCGGTTTCAAATTTTTTTTTTTTTACCATCTATTTAAACGTTAATCCATCCGCGAACAAAAGTCAAAGTAGGTACTCATTTTTCTATGTAATATTGAGAATCGTGCACACTAGATCCTTTCTGTCCAGTACTTCAGTCGTATTCTAAATACTAAAGACCAGTTAAGATTTTGACTTTGACCGCACACGAATTCTGTGGTCCCAGGAAAAAGGTACTTTAGTTAATTTTTGGCATTTTAAAAATTTATTCCTTTTATTTTTTAGAAATAAGTGTAGGTATTTTCAAAATTTTATTTTCTTGTGTAAAATATTATACAATATTGACTTAAGCCCTTCTTCCCTGGGACTAAAGATATAAGTCCTTTCCGTTTAATCGTCGTTTCATTGTGCAGTAGTCCTTTTAGCTATCTAAAAATTCACATTTTGGCGTCTGTCTTGGGTCAATATTAATAGCCAAGGCACGATGGAAGTCTTAAGGTAAGACTAATATGAATGGAAGGCTAAAAAACTAAACTATTGTATTTACATACTAATAACAATTCAACTATAGAATGTGACTAAACTAAATTATTGAAAGTATCCACTGTATTGGCTCCATTATAATTTATAGTCCGTTGATTATGCCGTAAAGGGGTTTGGTGTACAATATCGGTTTTATTCTTTGCGAAAATCAAACATTCGCCATATACGAAAATAAAAGTGGTTTTCTAACGGTGGTGCACGAAATAATTATATAGATTCGACAGCGGTAGTGTTTACATTTCCTTTTCAACTCTATTCGGCTAACAAACTGCTCGATACCTTTACTTTCGTACTTATACATAATATTGTATGTACGTGTACACAGTACATTAAGTGCAGGTGCTGAAGGGCAAAGTATACAATGTTTAACTATTTAATAGCTTATAAAAAAAAAATACATATATACGATTCGACTTGAGCATTTGTAAAATTATTTACTCGATATAATATAGTCAATGTATTTTTGTAACTTTAGATGAAATACAAAATATAATTTTCAGTTAGATATTTTTTCAAATGCATTTTCTTTTGAAGTTTTAACTAAAATTACATTTTACATTTAACGATCCTATTAGTTTCATTGTTTTTCATAATACTTTCCTATAGAACGTCTTTGTACAATTCTTTGCCATGGTGATATTAAAAGTTCATATAACTTGTCTTTTGCATTCTTCTGTAAAATCATGTCATCTGCCCCTGTAGAAAATTTGGTTCGTCTTCTAGGGGGAGTGGCAATATCCTTTTGGTCTAAAAGTTTTACTTTTAACTAATATTACCAGACATCAGTCAGTTAATGTGACCCCTGACTGCTTAATGTGATAGCACAACTATCTGCAGAGGCCGTGATTATAATTTATTAACACTCTAAACTTCTATACAGATTTCTGAATGCCACGCCTGATCTGCCCTTTTCTTTTATAATTCCGTTTGAGTTTCATAATCACGAATAGCTCAATGCTACAGATACGTGTGTTTTCAGGAGGTTTTCCCTAATGTGAAGACTATAGTAATATAATATTTCCCCGTCCAAAAACATTTTTTCATTAAATATTATTCATAAAAATAAATTTTTGATACAAAACCTATATAAAAGTAGATTTTATAGATTTGAAAAATTAAAAACTCGTTTGATACTCACGTTATCTGCATATAACGTTCCAGATGGTTAGGTGAGATCAGTTTATGGTTAGGTCCAATCGCAAGCACGTGTGTGATTTGTTGAATGTTGCTTATACCAAGTCAGTTGTGCATCCATGCATTGTTTCCTGCCAAAAATAATACTTATACTAGGATATACAGTTAGTAGTAATAACCTTAGCTGATGTGTTACCTTAACCATAATCTGTATGATTATTTTAACTACAATACTCCGTATCCTTTTGGACGACTACTATAATATTCAATTAAATGCAATTTTAATTTAAATACCATTATTTTTACGGAACATCGAACGAGTAAAATTGTATTGTTTCTTTCTAATATAAAATTAATTAAACTGTTTTCTCGTAGAACTACCACCTGTGCCTATACATGTAGGGTGATCAATTTTCCGTGTAAGACAATTATTATCTCACGGAAAATATTAATTTGTTTTCTGTCCACTCTATGGTTGTTACAAAAAATAATATGATCCATTTTTCCGAACTTGCATCTTTAGTTTTAAGATAAATCATTTTATTTCTCATAAAAAAAAAAGAACCGCATTTTCAGTCATTGTCATAAATTTCGACAATCGAGCTGTGTGTTATTCCAAAATGTTTCCGAACCCCAACCCTCTCTATCTGGTGGATTTTAAATTTGAATACTCATATAAAACCCCTATAAATGAAATCATTGTAGTTTTCTCCCGCATATAATAAGTTAGCATCTACATTATGATGATGACGTCTCAAAGCCCGGTATTTATAATTTAATTGACCTACCTAATTAATTTTTAACCAGCAAGCTTTTAATCGAATGAAATTGTACAGACTGTACTTACTGCAGCAGTTGAAATTTACCGTAGAACAAATGAATCTCTGTACTATACAATATTATTCACAATGAGAACTAATTTTAAACGTAGGTATTAAATACTATTTCATAATATGTAGGTAGTAACTGCACTATTATTATGCAGTATTTAACAACCTGTGAGCTCGAGTTCGTGTATGGTAATTTTGTTTAATAATATTATATATTTACTGTATATCATGCGATAGAGCTCAGAAAAGCCGTTAAAACCTGATTGCCTATATAGTTTTATTAGTTACACATAAAAATAACAGTTTTAGTAAATAATCGAACTATAAAAAAGGGTTAATTATATATGGGTGTATATATACATAATACATATTATATATTATATACGAGTATATTGCATAGGAACCTTTAGCATGGGGTAAACTCAGATTGCCTCCCATTTGACCTTCGAATTACCTTTGAAATTGTTTAAAAATGCATACTCGAATCGTATCCCAATTTTAGAAAAGATGAAATGAATTGTAATTTTCCTTTGTGTCATTATTGCAGTTTTTCGCATTATATAATTTTACACGACTTAACAAATCCTACAACAATCCGTAAATGTGACAAAAGTAATTAAATTTCAATTATAATCAAAAATAGGTAGGTACGAAAGTTTATTTTAAGAACAAATGTCATGAATATATGATCCTCGGTTAGATTTATCAGTAAAAAAATCGAGATGGTCCAAGAGACCTATTGAACATTTTCCAAGTGATCCATTTTTAGTGTCTAATAAAAGGTTAGGAAACACTGTGCCTTTATAATATGAGTTACATTTTGGCGATGTATAACATTTTAACATCGTGATGTTACAACGAAATAGTTAACATACCATTTTATAAGTTAAACATTTATTTACATCGCAAAAATGCATCTATAAGGTGAGTACAATTATATGATGCTAACTATACAAATTGCATATGTATGTAATATTATGTATTTAGTATACAAACCTCTCTCGTTCATTAACCCTTGTCCCTACTCCTAGTTCAGTGTTCACACAACGTGCTGTTTTATGTTTATTGTTATGTAGTAGCTAGTAAAAATGGGTTTTTTTTCAATTACCGTGACCCATGTGTCAGCAAAATATTCATTGGCGAGAAAACAAATTACAATAAATAAAATAGTACCCACAAGAAAAACTTTTTAATGACATTTTCATTTCATAAATAAAAGATAAGATTTTTCAACAAAGTTACTAAAATCTTTTTTTCCTCCAAGCCTAGATCCGACCTAGAGAACGTACGAATTTTCTGAAAAACTATTTGAGCTTAATTTTTATATCTTAAGACTCGTTAATAAAATAAAGAATATAAATATTTTCGAAAAATTGAATGGTATCCACAAGAAAAAAAAAAACAAAATAAAAAAGAAAAATAATAATAATATATTGCTTTTGGGTATTGACCTAATAGGTACCGAACATCTTTTTCTCATTTATTATTTTTACGGTTCACAAAAAAACATTTTTACCGAAACGACTTTTTTAATAAGTAACGTAACACACACACACAAAAAATAATAATTATAAGGTGTCGGAGTAAATTCCAATTAATATAATAATACAAGTATTTTTTATAGGTAGGTAGGTATAAAATAACATTATAATGAACGCGTCTTTTTTATGGATTTTATAGAGCTCCGTGCGATTTTTCACTGAATTTGTTTTAAAACATGGTTTGATTATTTTACAAAACCAAACAAAAGTTATTAAAAACACTAGTATTTCTGCAGAAAACAACTTTTCGTTTATAACATTATTTAATTGTTAACGTTAAAGTGCGTATAAAGAATACCATACGTAAAATAGAATATAGAAGTAAAAAAGTAAACTACCAGAGGTACCAGAGTACCATTTCTTAAGAAGCCTGCGCGCAACCGGTTTTTTGTTACTCAAAACCATGTTCAAATGTCAATTGTTTTTCACACTAGTTAATCGAATTCGATTATTTTTTTGTTTGGTTTTATTATTCATTGGAAAAAAAGAAGACTTTTTATTGGACTTGAACTTAGACTTTGAAAATTACATTTCTAAATGATATAATTATTACTTATTTTATTATTGTTAGATACATTATCAATTATGGAATTCCAAAATTCCAGTTCCGAAATTGTCTCTTTTACGAAACATAAAAATTATTTAAATCCGATCACTCTATGATAAAATTATTTCTGAAAACATTTTTTGAGCCAAACAACGGTTAACGTGCAGGCACCTTAATATAAAAATTAAAATTGAACTATTGCTGTTACGATTGATAAGACATTTGGATTGTTAAATATTGATGTTAATAATTTGTAAAAATTCACGACCCTAAAATTGTATTACTGTATTGGGGAATTCAGTAATTCACAAATATATTTAAAATTCCAAATTTCGATTAGTTAGTAGAACATTTTGTTAATAACTGGATGCAAAAAGTCCAATTTGTATACAATAAATCAATTTTTTTTTCGTTGTAATTTAGTTGAAATATATAATTTTATGACAATAATCGTATTACTAAATAAAAAATGAACATTCATAGTTGAGTTGTATTTTTAAGCTAATGTGAGGGGGAATAACCCCTAAAATCCTCAGCTATACGCACATCACTGCTCGGACACTTATTGGTAGTTTTTGAGTAATTCGTATCATTCTATATGAAATATTTTGTTTTTTAATGTATTCTTCAAATTATAACACCTATATTATAATATTTATTAATAATTTTACTCACAATAATATCAGAAAAAAGCAGAAATTGTTTTAAATGAAAATGGAAATAAATTATACCATAATACAAATAATTGAAAAATAAAATAGTTTTAAACGATAGTAATAAAAATTCTGTTTACGAAAAAGTGGTAATCCTGATAACTGATAAGTGATAACTCATTATTGATAATTAATAGAGCTATGATAGTTATTTATTGGTTTCGACGATGTATAGTGCTATAGTTTTCGCTACACAAACTTTTGTAATATAAACTAAAATGTTGTTCCCAAGTAACTTCTTTATGTTATAAATAAAAACAAATTGTTGATGTTTACAAAATTTCTGATATAACATATACATAAGAAATTATTAATATTATCAAATTTGATATAAAATTAAAAATATAAAAATACATTAGAATATAATTTTAATATTTATCCTATATTCAATATTTTTTTTTAATCTTCTAAAAAAATCTTTAAAAAACATAAACTGTATTGTTTAAAAAAAGTGAACAAAAAATAAATTACGAATTAAACACAAAAAAAAAAGGAGGTTATAATGGAAATCTTAATTATTATGAGGAATATTTGAAAAAATTGATTTTTCCGACTTGAAACATAATGATATATAATTAACAAATTAATATCACCTGAAGAAATATTTTTTTTGTACTGACGATTATCATGATTAAAAATCACCCAACCAAAGTAAAACTACCCACCAGCTGCAAGTTCTCCTCGTAGAAATCAACTTAATATTAAAATAATTAAAACAACACCGTTTAAGTCGCATTTGAGCTAGTTTAAAATAATTAGATAGAAATCTTATCTGTGAACTAAATTGTGATTTTCAAACCTATTAATTTTATTAGTATGTTATACTTTTAGCATAAACAAACGTGTATTATTTATAAAATGTCTTATAAAATTATAATTCATTTCAACAAAAAATGGCTAATACTGATGCAACTTTTTTATGAAGGGAGAATATATAGAGTAATTCAATTTATATCTTTATGCAATGATAAGCCATTGTTAATGAAAAACGATTCCGAGTAGAGTATTATTAGTCGTATTTTTCCTTGTTACCAAAGTAACCAAGAAATTAATATAAATTATTTAAAAAAATTGCTAGTTTTTTCATTTATTGAGAAGTATTACAAGGAAAAAAAATGACTCTCGAGGTTAGGTTAGTTTGCAAAAATGTCTGAAAAATTTACATACAATTTTTATTGAAGCAAGATTTCTGGTAGAAAAGTTATTTAAAGAAACAAAAAAAAACACATCATAGTAAACGAATATGTTCTTTGCTTCATTTAAAATCCAAAAATATGCTTAAAAATTTTAAATTTAAATTTTTAAAATACCGTTTTTAAATAGGTTTACAAAAAAATAAAACCGCATATTGCGGTTCGCATTACACCCGTTAGCACATCCTGGTTGTAGTAATAATATTAATTTTATAAATCTCGCATACATATATGTATACTGAATGCATTAACCGTGAAGAGCAGGCGTGGTTTTGGAACATTCCTACCTACACCTATATGCAATTTTTAACAACTTTGCATTATTAATACTAATCAAAGAAGAATTTCTTGTCATTAATCAATATGATTATAATTTGTCATCCATCACAATTAATTTTAAATAATAATATGCATTATAGGTATAATAATAAAAAATATATATATGATATATGTATTATAAATTCAGTAAGTGACACACATATTCTGAAAATTATAAAAATTATGAAATTACTGAAAAATACTGCAGTGTGTTTCATTCAAATAATCGAATATGGGGGGAGGGATAGTACCAAAATACACATATTGACCCCTTCAAAAAATTTGAACTGTATCGTGTTCATATATGCATATTTATGATTATTGTTTTATCTTTTATTTTTAATTTGTTTCCCCACAGGACAGATGAATTTATTCATATTTAAAGTCACTTGTTTTTAATTTATTGTGAAAATAGAGAAAAAAATGGCTATACCAAAGGCAATTTTTATGATAGAATAAAATCGTATCTGTAAAGGTTGCTTTAAAAAAAATAGGACTATTCGAATATGATGATAAAAACTAAGTGTTTCTGTGTAAGAAAATTTTAGTTTTATTGTGCATGCATTTCGTAAGGTTTAGAATTTCGAAAATTTTCTCAAAATGTCAATTATAGTACACCCAATCTTCCTAAAAGAACCCCATTTCAACCTGAGTCGATACGACAGACATATTTCATGTTATATCATGTACTTTTTTACATTTATTTTTTAGTATCAAATTCCCAAACCATTTTTTTCTTTGGGTTTTTTTTTTTTTTTTTTTTTTTTTTTTTTTTTTTTTTTTAAATAATTTGCTTTTCTTCATTTTTCTTATTTTCATATTATATTGATAACTGAGCTATGACGATGTAATATCGTGTACACTACATTGTGCATGCAAATTTAACATTAATCTAATTTCTGTTTACCTTCTCAAATTATATTATTCTAATTCGCTCAACAGCTTTGGCTGTATGACTGCATACAGTCTTCAATTTTATAAATTTTATATTATATTTTGTATTCGGACAACGACCTCGTTTATCTCTTTCGCCGCGTAACAGTGTAGCCGGTCATGGAACTAATTATCGTTGCTTTATATTTTTTTAACGTAAACAAATGAAAATTGTGAACGGAAAAATATAGATTAAGTTAAATACTGTAGACAATTTTTTTTGTGAAATATATATGTGCAAGTGTGTAAATTAAATCCATTTATTGACAGAATTATTTATTTTGACAGAAAATTGTTCGTAGATAAAAATAAAAATAAAATAAACATCATTGTAAAATCAATACACTCCTCACTCCGCTCAGAATCTAACATTAAATTGTTAAATTTCTGTGTAGATAGGTACTCGGCAATATAATATAGTGTATTAATGTATGTTATGTAACAGTCATTAAAAGTATATTTTGTGAAACAAATTTAAAAAATTTTGAAACGCCCGATTATACTGCATCTAAAAAGGTAAATATTTGTAAATTTCCAACGAAAATTTAATATTTAAAGCCATCCATGGCTGAAAAATTAAACTAATTATAAACACATTGTATATATATTATACATGACCAAATGAATTATGTTTTACTAGGTATATGAAATAACGGAAACAGACACGCTATAACGACCAATGACGGAAATGTGATGAGGTAATAATTATCGAAGGAGGCCAGACATTACTTTCCTCTCCTCGTATTAATAGATTCCACTCGAGTCGGTTACCTATTTAGGCTTAAGTTTGATGAACACAAAAAATAAAAGAAAAACGATAGGTACATAAATGTAATATATTATTATATACTGTTATATACACTCAGCTGTGGTATTTATATATTATCCCCGAATATTATTAAACAAAAAAAAAACGGAAAAATTGAATTACCCCACTGGATATTGCAGCCCTTAAATTAACCATTTTGTTCGAATATTCGCCCACGGCATTTGAATATTATAATACATTAACCTATAAGTCCCGCTTTATCGCGGTCGAGGGTGCGAAACATGTTTCAAAAATCAGTCAATAAACGGCCCGTCTGTCAAAAAAAATAACCTCGTATTTCGTACCCTTATTGTACACTGTCGGCGGCTTAGCGGGGGGTTTTTATTTTCGTTTTTTGGGTTTAGAGTGAACAATGTACCTATAGTAATGATGTACACAAGTTTCCAGTCCAAATCTAAAATTTTTATCTCCGCAGGCTCCCCCTCTTCCGGCCGATATCACAAATATATATCATATTATATTAAATTATAAACGATATATAATACCATATAGGTACCTACCGGCTAATAGACCACGTATTATTATTGTGTTTTATATAATATTAACGTACGCCCACATTAACGAACCGTGTAATATACGTTTATTATTCTACAATGCTATAATATATATATATATAGGTCTTTCTTTTCTTTCGTTTTTTTTTCACGTCCAACCGGGAAAAAACACACGTCGCGAACCCACTGTGACATATTATATTATTCTGGGCTGTTATAGGCATTGTGTGCAGCGGTTTACGATTGTAAATAATAATATATTATTGTGTTTGATACTATATCGCGAACTCGAACACCTACGCGGTGACCTAACCTAACCTAACCTAACCCACCCTAACCAGTAACCACGACCGGCCAACGCAAACGAAACAATAATAGAACTGGCAACAACAATAATAATATATTCTTAACTATGCGATCATGACTAAAGTTAGGATTTACTATAATAGTTGCAATAATTCCCAGATTATTATAGTACAGTATGTTAATTATAACAGAAAATGTTAAATTCTTTTTTTTTTCGAAAAATTCGAACATTCTGAAACTACGATTGAAGTGAAAGTGAAAACTTACTATTTTTGTTATGGTTAGATTTATGATTCTTTCTATCTATGTATTTTTCGAAATGTCGATGAACCGGCCAAAATAAATGGCCGAAGTGATTTTGAGTTAACGAATTTATGAGCCGAATTGATAGTTAGTCTCATTAAAATGTTGCCTAATCCGCATAAAAACCCTGATAACTTTTACGCACTAGGTATTATGAGAACAAATTTGTCAGTCTTTGTAAAATCGAATATATGTAAGACGACTGTTTGAAAACATCGAATTTCATCTCTTAGTCGATTTCGGATAAAAATCTGTTGCGACGTTGACTGATGGTACGGTGTTTACGATTCATAATGATGATTTTTGCTTGATTTCAAACAATTTAGATTAGTTTCCGGCTTGTCTATGCCAAAATGATTATGTCTTTTTGCAAGTACAGATGGCATATTAAATTTATCGTCTGATTATAATAATCGTTTAACAAATACCAAATAGGTTTAATTAGTTGCACAAAAAAGGAAGACGATTGTTCATTATGATGCGGTGGTAGAGGTTGAACTCTCGTGCGTTTTCAAACATAAACGCAATTTTTGCATATAATTTTCCGTCTATATTTCTAACGGACAATTTACTTATGAAGTTTGAGATCGACGAATTTCAAAAATCAACATTGGTCACGACACGGGTATAGTACATAATATTATATTGTATATTGAGTTATGTGTGCAAATTTGTATTTTGGGCGGTGAAGTTGATTTCAATACACCGTAGTCTCGTATAACAATATTATATTGCATAGACGGAATAATATTTATGTGCGTTCGACTCTCCGTTGTCGAGCATTGCACGATTTACGACGACGTTTAAACTGTCGTCGTCTACTCGTACATTAGCGACCCGTACAACAATATAATATGTGTGATAATTTAAAATTAATTTACTATCCGTTATCATCGTTCTGTGTTTACACGTCGTGCGCGCACTGCAATATAATAACACAGTGTCCGAGACGCCATCAGTATGATAATAGTTTACACACTGATCACAGAAGACATTATCTCGAAAAAGATTATCTCTTTTAGAAATTTGATTTTTAGCAAATTTAAGAAACAAACCATTCTAAAATGTTACATCACCTTTATTTTTAGGAATGACTTTTGATTTTCTAATAGCAACCAAACCTAAAATTCATAAAAAGATTAAGTGTTAGTTTAAGAAAAAGTTGCAGCTATTGAAATTCCTAATTCTCGACACCATTTGCCCTACAATGCATTTCCCGACACTGCATTTTTCCGAAAATATCAAGTTTTATTATAAATAAATGTGCGCCAAAAGTTATTCAAAAGTTCCATAAAATATTACATTATTTACTATTCAATTTTACATTCAAGATTAAGTTATTTTTAAGTTAAGATATTTTAGACAGTTATAAAAATTGTTTCAAAATCAAAATTTCATCGTCTATCGGTTTATTTGGGAATGCAAATAACAGTTAAGTTCGTAACCGTCAACGCAATAACATTTTATTTATCTACTTAATTACTTTTTGTAGAGTTTATTTATAATACTTAGTACCTTTTTACACAGAATGATATTATCTGTAATACAATATTAATCTGATTGTGGTTTTTGTGTATTAATGAAAAATAATGAGAATAAGAAAAATAAAATGTCGTATATTATTATTATGTAGGTACAGTAAAAATGTGTAAAATATATTATCAGGCTAATGATGTCGGGAAATTGAATGTTGTATTTATCCCGTTTAAACATGCTTAATATCCTACTACTCTCCCCCCAAAAATTTTAGTGTTGAAATTAAGATTTTCAACATCGACAGTTATAATAACTAAAACTTCATCTATTTATAACATGTTTAACATAAGTTGCCATTTGAAAATAAAAAGTGTGTTTCTTCTTTAAAAATAACAGTATTGTAATAATTATAAAAGTTGCTTGTTTTCGTAAATTTTCTAAAACAACATATTCCGAAAAAAGTTAATGCTTTCCGAGATAATGAGTGTCTTTTATTATGTAGATCATTCTGTATGTACGGGCCTCCGAGGACGATTATATTATTAACTCGGTTAAGTGGGATAAGAAGTTTCTCATCCCTTTTTGAACGTCAACGACGCGATACGGGTCAAAAGTTGTGATCGATTGAAGTCCCTTCGTTTTCGAGTCGATTCAAATCCGTAAACCTTCCAGACTTTTCGTCCTTTCCCAAGTCGTTCGGATGTGTGCGGAAACTACAAGTATGAAAACGGAGATCACGGGTCGTCTGAGAAAATCTATTTCAATCGGAACTTTTAACGTACCAATTATTTTCGTCCACACTCGACTATATAGATGTACCTATAAGTTTCTTATCTTGCACTTTCATATTATGGCATGACGTGTGTATATGTGTGTTAGTGACGTGACATAAATCCGAAAAAACTTAATTAGAGATTTCCCACAATTTGAGGTTCTGTTTTTTTTTTTTAACTGAAAATAACTTTTTTTTCTATTTATACATGAAATAAATTCTTTATAATTACGTTTAATTTTTGAGTATTGTATATGAATTCGGTTTATTATAATACTATTGGTTTTCTACTCGGCGTTTCCGATGTCAATTTAATTCCTTCTCTTTTACTGATCATTTAAAAGCAAATTTTTAAAAAAATATTTTGTAAAACCAAAATCCATAAAGGAAATTCAATTAAACGTATCTCCCAGTTTCCACTTCTGCCCATAGGAGATTAAACCGTTACAGTACAGTTAATCGTTTTTGTCTTATAATTTATCTTTTAAATACAGCACTCCCTTGCCCGTGACAACAAACAATTAATTAATAATAACTATTTTTTTTTCATTTTAAATTCTGAATGAATCGAGGAATGTATATTGGATATATTATGGTGTATTTATTTTTATGTCTGGAAACAACTTGTCTATAAGAAATAATGCTCCAATCAAAATCTTTATAGGAACTTTTCTGTAGAATATTTTAACTAGTTGGTACATTGAAAAGGTAATATTTTGATTGTCTTGTAGTTTTCTTCAATGGGAAAAACTAGTCATTTTTGTATAATTATTGTTGATTTCTGGATTAATTTAGCAATAAAGAAAATAAGATTAACAATACACTGCGCAAAGTCGTTTTTCATCAGCGATGATTTATCGATGTGAGTAGATTTATATTCAACTACTCTATATTATACTCTCTCCTTCAACTTTAATTTTAAAATAGTAGTGCGTCCAACAGCAGGGGTAGTTGTTTTTATTGTTTCAAAAATTAGAAATTGTAAAAAAAAAATTAAATGTTCTTATTAAAATATACATATCCGGCTTATCGACGTTGCCCAGACTCGGATTGAAACGGCGAGCTACGGTAGGCCACGTAAAATCATACTTATTTTTAATAATTTTATTTAGGTAAATTTTTGGTCTATTTTGTATAGTATTGCCAGTTTCGGGCTAGTGGAAATCCTAAAAACTCGATAAGCCAATACATTCCTTATCCGGCGCTGACGGTGCTTATACTCAATTTGGTATAAATATTTTCAGACTTTTACGTGCGGTCTATTCAGCTATACATCGCACATACACATAACTGTACTGCTAGTGTTTAACTGAACATTCAGACATATAAAAAAAAAAATACATTCTTCGCTCCGAACAGAACCTAAAAAAAATTAAAAAAAAAAAAAAAAAAAAAGAAAATAATAATGAAAAAATAATG